CGATAGATTAAGGAAATTAGGGTGTTGTTCCAGATATTTTTCCCCAGCATGATATTTGTCTGCAGTTGACTTTTGGTTGTGATTGCTGTAAGGTTCCCTTTACTTATATTTATCAGAGTCTTTTTTGTTTTAAATCAGTGGTTTGTGGATTTTGTCATGTTTGAGTCCTTCCCTCTTCTGTAACTGTTTGAATAATCTTCTGTTCGCTTGCTTGTTTTTCAGCGCCCGCACAGCTTTTTAAAAGTTTATTTATAGAGAGAGAGAGTGTGTGTGTGTATGTTCATGTATGTTGGAAGTGCCCTCAGATGCCCGAGAGAACATTGGATACCCTGGAGCTGGAGTTACAGACAGTTGTAAACTGCCTGACAAGGGTGCTGGGCATGAACAGTGGTCCTCCGGAAGAGCAGCCAGTGCTCTTAAATTCTGAGCCGTCTTCAACTCTGATTTTGTGGGTAGAGGGGGTGTGGGGAGTTGGGGAGAGTAGGGGAGTGGGGGAGGGGTGGCTTTAAATTTCTAACTATGAATCAAATAAATCTGCCCAGTTGTTCCAAAATCAAGCATTGAAAATTTCATCCCTTCCCCATGGGACATGCCATGAGGTAGATCGTGTGGGGCACTTGTCTGTCCAGCAGGAGCATCTGCTCTTTAAAGGGAGCAACTGGGTATCGTGTTTTGTCTCTACCGTATAACAGAGTGTAATGTTCTATACAAAATGAGTATGGATTTGACTTCTTGAGATTCTGTATTTTTATATGGATGAGTTTTTGCCTGCGTGTGTATTTGTACCCTATGTATGGTTGGTGCGCTTGGAGGCCAGAGAGAGCATCAGACCTGGAGTTACAGATGGTTCTGAGCCACCGTGTGGGTATCGGGAACTGAACCTAGGCCCTCGGGAAGAGCAGCAAGTGCTTTTAACTGCTGAGCTATCTCTCCAGCCTCTTAGGCTTTTAACGTTTTTTGTTTTTACATTATAAAGTTATGAATTCTTGACATAAGACAGCTTACAAATCTTTATTTAAAGTTCCGTGAAAATTTATCAAACGAATGTCCACGTCACTGCCTTTTCTCTTGAAAATGGCATTTTCTTTTCTTTTTTTCTTTTGGTTTTTTGAGACAGGATTTTTCTGTATAGCCCTGGCTGTCATGGAACTCGCTCTGTAGACCAGGTTGGCCTTGAGCTCAGATCTGTCAACCACCATCTCCGGAGTGCTGGTGTGTGCTACCAAGGCCCAGCTTGAAAATGGTGTTTTCTGAGGTTGGAATTCATTGAGTGTCCTGTCTCATTTTGCCACTTCCAGATGGTTTTGTAAGCAGCATGGTTTAGTGGTGCCTATCTTTGAATGTTTAAATGGAGTAGTCTAGTTTCACTGGTTCAGGGTTTGGCTTCAGTCTCTCGTTGTGGTCTTGTGGTAGTGCTCTGGCCGCGGGGCTACGATTGCAGGTGCGCTTCTGACTCACCCCAGCTGTGACTGGTAGATTCATCCTTTCTACAGTTGCTGGACTGTGCGCATGTGTTAGTCAGTGTGTACTGTTACAACATAGATGCCGCACAGTGGACAGCTTAATCCAGTATCCTCACAGTTTTGGCAGCTGGAGATGCACAGAGGCCCTGTAACTGGTAAGAGCTCCTTTTCTAGCTGGGATACGAGCTCTTCCCTGATGTGTCCTCACTTGGTCCAGAGCAGGGAACAAGCAGAATTAAGATTTCTGGGTCGTGTGTGTGTGTGTGTTTGTGTGCGCGCGCGTGTGTGTATGTGCATGCATGTGTGTGTGGAGTCTAGAAGTCAACATCCAGTAACTTCTTGATCATTTCTGCTTTTCTGAGTCAATGTCTTCAGTGTTTGTGGAGGTCATCAGTGTGGCTAGGCTGATGAACGCAAAAGGTCTGCTTGTTTGTTTGTTTGCACACACACACACACACACACACACACACACACACGTATGGTCCCACTTCCCTAAATTGGGGAAGTGGCCGTGCCCAACTTCTTAGTGGTTGCTGGGGATCTGAGCTCCTAACTCATGTTTGCACTGCAAGCTCTTTACCCACAGACCCCTCCCCAGACTCTCTCTCCTAAGAACTGTGCATTGAGAGAGAGAAAGAACAAGAACGTGGACACACACGCATGCTGATACCCCCTGGCTAGAGTTATAGGCGGTGCTGCTCGTATGGGTGGTAGTAGCTGAACTCTGATCCTCTCCCTCGCTCGCCCCAAGGCTCTGCTTCCATGGCCTAATTACTTCTTTGGAAACTCTCTTCTTAGTGCCATCACACTGGGGCGCACTTCAGCGTGTTCTGCTGCGCACAGATTTTCCACCCTTGTGTGTTGCTCCCAGTTTTAACTGTTGCTCATAATACTGTGAAATCCTTTCACACTTGCTTTGGTGCATGTGACCAGAATTTTTTATGGAATTAGATCACAAATGATGGCTTGCAGCATGGTTTTATTCTAAACTTTTTATGTGTTTAGCGTGTGTGTCTGTGTGTTTGGAAGTCAGACGGCGGTTTGTTAGGAGTTGGTTCTTTTCTTTCACCCCATGGGTTCCAGGGATCAAACTCAGGTCATGCAGCTTGATGGCAAGTGCCTTACCCATTGAGCTCTGTCTCACAGACCCCAGCTCTTACTTGTTTAAAAGACAACACATTTTATTTGTTTGTAATTTTATTAATTTCATGCATTTCAACATATTCTCATGTTGTCATAGTTACACACATTTAAAAGTTAGAGATTATTGTTTGTACACTACTCGCTAGTCTCCTAAGCCCTCCTCAGTGGGCTTCCACCAGTTTCCTGTTCCAAACTTAACAACTTACAGTGTGTATGGCTTCCAGTTACAGTTTACCTGTTAGCCTTACAGTATCCATTCAGGACACGTGCCCAAGTGATTATTGCTCTTGGAGTCTGACACTTTCACTTTGAAAAATTCATTTAAACTCATTTAAAAAGGTACAGGAGTCAATAGTTCATTTTCTTTTAGCAGATAAACTTCACCTAGCATGCATGACATTAGCCATGTCACAGTAAGTGGTGAGCACACACACAGTGTATGGCCAGTTCCTGTCTAGTTCTAACATTTTCATTGCCCCAATGAATCCCCATGCCTCTAAGCTGCTGCTCCTCATCGTTTCCCTTGCAGCAGCCGCTCTCTGTTACAGGTGGATCTGTGGGGCAGTTTGCGTGAATGGATTCATACACCGTGGAGCCTTTGTGGCGTCTTTTCCCTTTACAGTGTTTTCAAGCCTCATAAATGTCAGGGTGTACCAGTCCTTTGTTTCTATATTATTTTAAAATTTTTATTACATTTTATGATGAGGAATGTGTGGTTGCAAAGGTCAGAACTTGCAAGAATCAATTATTTCTTTCTACTGTTTGGGTCCTGGGGAGGGATTCAAGTCTCCAGGCTTGCATGACAAGTACCTTTACCCACTGACCCAGATCACCAGCCCCATTTCTGTTTTTTAAACCATGGTAAAATATATCTAACAAAGTTATATAGCCAGGCAGTGGTGCCCCCACATTTAATCCCACAGTCAGGAGGTAGAGGTAGATGGATCTCTGAGTTCTAGGGCAGCCTGGTCTACAGTGAAAGTTCCGGGACAGCTAGGGCTACGCAGAGAAACCCTGTCCCGTGTGTCAACATGCATGTCGTTGAGGTCATTAGACACATGTGCTGCACTGCTCGGCCTTCCCCGCTGTCTGCAGAACTGTCAGCTAAGCAGACCTGTACCTGTTGACGTCACTGCCCACTTCCCGCTCCTCTCAGCCCTTGATGACCTCTACTTTAGATGTCTGGTTTACCTCCTCGCTTGTGAATTTGCCTCTTTAGATGTTTGTTTTTGCGACTGGGTCTCTCGTAGCCTGGGGTAGCCTTGAATTTGCTGTGTAGCCGAGGTTGCCCTTGAATCCTGATCTCTCAGATACTGGGATTACAGGCATGCATCCCCAAATCTACCGTGCCTACTGTATTTTACTAAGGTCTGTGTGATAGCTGTACCAGAATTTCACCCCTGCTGGGCCTGGAGACACTGCCTGTAAGCTGCCTACTCAGGAGCCTGAAACAAGAGGATTTCAGTTGCAAATCCAGCCAGGGTAACTTCAGAAAACACTGTCTTAATTTTCTTTAAGGGCACTGGGAATAATAATGATCGAGTTTTTGTGTGGTATGTGTTGTAGGGTTTTATTGCTGTGAAGAGACACCATGACCACGGCAGCTCTTATGAAGGAACACATCTCAGTGGTGCTGGCTTACATCTCAGGAATTTAGTCCATTGTGATGGGAAGCATGGGAGTCCAGGCAGACATGATGCTGTAGAGGTAGCTGAGATCTGGATCTAGATCCACGGGCAGCAGGCTTTAGTGACACACGTCTTCCAGCAAAGCCACACCCACCCCGACAAGGCCACATCTCCTAATAGTGCCCCTCCACTATGGGCCTATGGGAGCCATTTTTATTCAGACCATGGCAGTGTGCTTAAAGTCCTGCATCCAACCCCATTGCTACAGCAGAGAACTTACTCCTTCCTGGGGCAGTGCTCTTCTGATGGATCTGGATGTAGCACATATTTCTTCATCTGTTGATGGGCACTGTGTTTGGGGATGCTGCTGCCGTGTGCCGTGACCCTGGCGTTTGGTTCCCTTTTGTAGTGTGTCTGCCACGGCTCGCGGACTCCTGGTCAGAGTGTGTGTGCAGAAGCAGAGTTGCTCTGTCCTGAAGCATAGAACTCAGCTCTGTTGGCTGATGGGGAGCTGAATTACAGATGGTAGACCACAGTCTTGACGATGCTTGAATTTACCAGATTTCTAAGTTTTCCTGTTTGGTAATATGTTTTATTGTGAATTTAATTTTATTGTGTATTTTCTGATAGGGACTGAACACAGTTGTTACATGTTTATATGCTGTTTGTAATGTACTTATTAACTTCCTATTAGTGGTTTGCCTTTTTCTGAATTAGTGTTGCCTTAATTGTCTCCCAATAATGCTTGCTCTTGGTATTTCTGCAGAACAAATAGTGGAGAAAGATGAAGGCCCATATTACACTCACCTGGGATCTGGCCCCACAGTAGCCTCTATCCGGGAACTCATGGAGGAGCGGTGAGTGATGCCCACATCCAGGGAGAATGGGGCCTATCGGGTAGAATGTGGATGCTAAGCACCTGAGGCTGTAGGGTTGTGCTGGGTGCACTAGGGAGAAGCCCCATATCTGGACGGTGGCAGGTTCAGTGTGGGACTCTCACTTCCTGTCCAGGTTTCTTTCCATCCATAGATATGCCCTCATATGTCCCGACCTCTTCCCTTGTTCCTGAGGAAACACAGCTGTGTGGTGTTAGGTTTGTGGAGTTAGTTTCCTGCAGCCTGATTTTCTTGGATAGCGTTTCTCCAGCGTTGCTTACCCTGCTCCCTGTGCTGCTGACATCCTGCAAAGGGTGCTTGGGGCTCAAGTTCCAATCAGCTGACTTTTCTTGCCTTGATTTCCCACCCCCACCAAAATTACTTCACAAATGAGGTCTGTCCTGAATTTTTCTGTATGAAATTTTCTGGCTTCATGCACACATTTATCCAAGAGGTCTTGAAAGACTCTGGGGTGCTCGGGGCAGGGTGCATGTTGGTACAAAAGTGGCTTATTTTTAGTTCACTTTAGATGAAAACCCTGAGTTAAGTTACATCTGTGGATTTTTAATTTTTGATGCTTTTAAGTAGTTGAAGACATCATGAGTTTGTATTAGTACTCAAGGGCTGTGGGGTCACTTAGCAGCCCCCCTTTTTCCTTATCTTTTTTGGGGGGAGATGAAAGGTTTATTCTAGTTTACAATTTGGGACCCAGTCTGTTATGGCAGAGGGGCATTGTGACTGGACTCTTGCGCAGTTTCGGCCACATTGTTTCTGGAGTCAGGAGCTCCTTTTTCTTTATTCTTTCATGTAAAGACTCTATTTACTTATTTATGGGTTTTGTTGTTGTTTTAAGACAGAATCTCTCTATGTAACCCAGGCTGTCCTAGAACCCGCTATGTAGACCAGGCTGTCTTCAAACTCGAGATCCATCTACCTCTGCTTTCTGAGTTCTGGGATTAAAAGCGTGCACCGCTGTGCCTGCTCACAAAGAGCCTTTAACGTCTGCACAGGCCTCAGCAGATAATAGGACTGTGTGTGGAGCTCTGTAGCTAAGAGTGTGGACGCCGTCGCTGCCTGGGTCCCACCTGATCCCACTACTGAGTCCCCCTTGGGTCAGTTGTGTGACTCAGTTTTCTTTTCTACAAAACAGAGATGGCACAAGGGCACTCTGTAGGAATGCTATGGACGTACACTGAGCTGGCATAAAAATTGAAGCGGGTCTCAAGTGTACAGAAAAGGGTAGCAGTCTTTGTGTGTGTGTGTGTGTGTGTGTGTGTGTGTGTGTGTGTGTGCGCTGATATTTCACAACCAATCATTAGAACTTTAAATAAAGCAAAATAAAGGTAATCTTCATTTGCCGATGCATATGCACACCGTTTTGTGGAGGGCTTAGTGTCTTAGTTTTTACAAGACTGGGAGCCAGGTCTTCTGTGCCGAGGGGAGCTGGGCTAAGGCTGTCAGTGCAGCAGGGAAATGGGATGGAGAATCTGCCGTAAGCGGAGCTCAGTGGAGGTCACTGATGTGCAGTAATCATTTCCTGTGCCATCCGGAAACATTTCTATTCCAAATAGCCATCAGAGGAGCCCATTTGATCAGACTCCCTCCCCCCCCCCCCCCGCCGCCATGCAATCCTGATTTAAAGGGCCCCGCCTGAGCCTGGGACAAGAGACTTAGATCCATGTGTGTTTGTATGTGTGCCTGCTACAGCCGGCAGACTACACCAGGCCACATTTGGACATGACTTTTTGTTGTTGGTGGTAGTAGTTTTTTTTATTGTTGTTTTGGTTTTTATTTGTTTGTTTGAGGCAGAGTTTTGGGCATCCCAGGCAGACCTTAAACTTTCTGTGTATCTGGAACTGTCCTTGATGTCCTAGTCCTCCTGCCTCCGCCTCTCAGGTGTTGGGGTCTGGTCCGCTACTCCAGACTTGGCTGGTGGCTTTGGTAAGGGACTGCAGGTCTTTGTTTGCTCAAGTCTGAGTCGGGAGAGTGTGTGGAGTCAGCTGTTTGGCTGTACTCCTTTGGGGGAGGGAATGTCAGTCATCTTAGAAGATTTCCAGACGGCTAAGTCTAAGTAATTTTAATCATAGCAGCGTGACTCTGAAGGAAGTGATAGTGTTAAGCTTGTCCTTTTTGCCTCTCTGCTTTAAAAATAACAGCCAGCTATAGATTCTTCAGAAAGCCATCCAAGGGAGGAACCCTGGGAGAGCTGGGAATGCTTATATTTTCCTCAGCACCTGGCTTGTTTCACTATAAGGGCTCCATGAATCATGCAGCAGGTTGTGCCTCCATCTTCCTATTGCCTGCCCATGAGCTGAGAGCCAGATTCACTCATCCCACCCTGGGAGGAAGGTGAGGGCTTATCTTCGGTGGTGGGAGTCTGCTTAGGCCTCCCGTGAATCTTGCTGACACAATCCTATGAGTTGCTATTAATGCCTTTTTTCTCATATGATAAATTCTTCCAGACTCAGCTCTTAAAAACAGCACAAAACCTGTGACCACATTTTGTACAGCAGCTCATCTTTCCCTGTCTTCATTGAGTTTGTCTTATAGATGTCTTCTCATTCTGGAACAAGGAGGGAAGTGGATGGATGGTGAATTTCTTACGAGGGTGTCAAGTTTGTGGCTTGTCCCAGCTGACTTTGGACCTCTCCACTTTTTCTTAGTAGTATGACTGCTTTATCAGGGCTTGGTCAAAGTCAGGGAGGGAACATATACTGACATCAAGAAGACCTTGGTGTTTTAGCTATTTGTAAGGCACAAAACTGAAGGAGAGGTGGAGTTGAAAGCAAATTCTAAAATGTCCCAGTGGATTTATGGGCATCATATTAGGATACCCAGGTCCTGGTGTTAGTAGATAATTGGAGTCAGTAGTCAAGCTTCAAACGGTAGATGGCCCACTACCCAGAGCCTTGAGTTCTATCAAGAAAGGGTCCTCTGCAGCCCAGCACTGCAGAGCCTGCACTGCTCACAGGTCCTCTGAGCTTGGGGAGGACTGATCTCATTAGTGTGCCCGAGCAAACCCTGGGGAAGCCCAGCTTTGATGCGTCTCAAATTCGAACAGGAATCCAAAGCTGCTGAGGGCTTGTGAAAGCAGGACACTGGGCCCCACCCCAGAACCTCCCTCCCTCCCTACCTCACTCCCAGTGAGACCTCTGTTGACAAGCCTGGAACCACCCTACCTACCTCACTCCCAGTGAGACCTCTGTTGACGAGCCTGGAGCCCCCCTACCTACCTCACTCCCAGTGAGACCTCTGTTGACGAGCCTGGAGCCTCCCTTCCTACCTCACTCCCAGTAAGACCTCTGTTGACGAGCCTGGAGCCCCCCTACCTACCTCACTCCCAGTGAGACCTCTGTTGACGAGCCTGGAACCACCCTACCTACCTCACTCCCAGTGAGACCTCTGTTGACGAGCCTGGAGCCCCCCTACCTACCTCACTCCCAGTGAGACCTCTGTTGACGAGCCTGGAGCCTCCCTTCCTACCTCACCCAGTGAGACCTCTGTTGAGGAACCTGGAGCCCCCCTACCTACCTCACTCCCAGTGAGACCTCTGTTGACGAGCCTGGAACCACCCTACCTACCTCACTCCCAGTAAGACCTCTGTTGACGAGCCTGGAGCCTCCCTTCCTACCTCACCCAGTGAGACCTCTGTTGACGAACCTGGAGCCTCCCTTCCTACCTCACCCAGTGAGACCTCTGTTGACGAGCCTGGAGCCTCCCTTCCTACCTCACCCAGTGAGACCTCTGTTGACGAGCCTGGAGCCCCCCTACCTACCTCACTCCCAGTGAGACCTCTGTTGACGAGCCTGGAGCCCCCCTACCTACCTCACTCCCAGTGAGACCTCTGTTGACGAGCCTGGAGCCCCCCTACCTACCTCACTCCCAGTGAGACCTCTGTTGACGAGCCTGGAGCCTCCCTTCCTACCTCACCCAGTGAGACCTCTGTTGAGGAACCTGGAGCCCCCCTTCAAGAGCCGTAGGCTAAGTTGTTAGTTGTTCTTGCTGATGCTTTAGCTGGACCTTGCAGACTCAGAGCCTGGTAATTTACACTCTTCATGATAAGCCAGGAAGTAAGATATTTAAAGAGAAAGAACCAAAGCAGAAATCAGTTATCAAGTTCTGTTCTGAGAGGAAAAGGGGCCAGCAAGATGGCTCAGTAGGTAAAAGCCTTTGCTGTCAAACCTGAGTGTAATCTGAAAACCCTCAGGGTGAAAGAGAAACTGACTCCCACCAGCTCTCCTCTGACCTCCACACATACAGCATGGCACACTCCCTTCCCCCAAATGTTTTTAAATTAAAAAAACAATCTTAATGTGTATGGATTGCTGTTTTCCCTGCATGTATGTCTGTATGAGGGTGTCCATCGGGTGCCCTGGAACTAGACTTAAGGTTGTGAGCTGCCATATGGATGCTGGGAATTGGACCTGGGTTCTTTGGAAGAAGTCAGTGTTCTTAACTTCTGAGCTATCTCTCCAGCCCTTTTATGACCCTTTTTTTGGTTTGGTTTGGTTTGGTTTGGTTTTTTTCGACAGGGTTTCTCTGTGTAACAGCTCTGACTGTCCTGGAACTTGCTTTGTGGACCAGGCTGGCCTTGAACTTGGAGATCCTCCTACTTCTGCCTCCCGAATACTGAAATTAAAGGCATGTGCTACTACCACTTGGCTTTTTTTCTTTAAAAAAAAAAAAGGAACAAGAAAGTTTGGCTTGGTTAGTCAACTTAGTCCCCCCCCCCCCCCCCACACACACACCCTTTTTTGTCTCTAGGGAAAACTTTGAGGTGCTTTCTCACAGCGACGGTGATGGTGAGGAAGGAGCTGGTCAGGAAGCCAGCACTGGTGTCCTCAGCTCACCCTTCTGTGGGGAATATGATAGTCCCTCTCGGTGAGAGTGCTGTGGCAGTCTTATGCTAGTCTTCTGACAGGGATCCCTAGACAAACCTGGGTCCCAGGCCTGCCCTTGGGGGCCGTGTCCTGATAAGCCTGCTGAGCTGAGACCTGTCCAGGGACCAAACAAAGGCAGTGCTGTCAGGTCCAACTACAGCGGTGCTGAATGGTGTCTGCAAGCCCTTCCTATAAGGCACTGGCAGCCCTCCCCCGTTAATGTGGTCAGAAGCACTTCTCACCCTCCCCTAAGATCTGAGCGCGATAGACAACTTAGTTCAGTGTTTGAAAGGAAACTCTGTTTCTTTTTCCATGAGGGAAATGCAACAAGGAGACTTTTAAGACATCTAAGTATTGGCAGAACACGGTGCATGCCTCTAACCCCAGCCCTTAGGCATCTAAGGTCATGAGGACTGTGAGTTCCTAGACCAGCCTAGGCTACATAGTGAGACTCTGTCTCGGAAGGAAGAAAGGAAGGAGGGAGGAAAGGAGGGAAGGAGGGGGAAGGACGGAGAAAAGGAGGAAGGGAAGGAAGAAAGGAAGGGCGTGAGGGAAGGAAAGAAAAATAGAAGGAAAAAGAAGGAAAGGAAACCATCAGTACAGAGTAGGGAAAGCACTTAGACCACTGATTTTTCCACAAGACATTCGTTAAAGGCAAGATAGACATAGGTATTAGAGAAATTATAGATTAACGGGAACTAATCATTGCCAACCTTTGTACCACTGAGCTGCATCCAGGATCAGTGCCCTTGTGCACTGGGTCCTGGGGTACAGTGATTCATCACAGTGGAGCAGATGAGATGAAGAATGGGGTGTCTTAAAAGTGCAGTCATTGGGAGAGCATTATGCCTTATTAAATGTCGTGATCAAACGGAACTCACTACAGAATACAAGGACTTTACTTGTATTTTTAAAGTCTGTTTAAAAAGCCTGCCCATGTCGGTGCCAGAGGATGGCTTAGCAGAGTGCTTGCTCTGCAATCCCAAGGACCAGAGTCTGGGTGTCAGCATCTACAGAGCAAGCCAGACATCTTGCAAATGCCTTTAATTCCAGCCGCAAGGGATCTGATACCCTCTGACTTCCATATTCTCACAGGTGTGCACACTCATACAAACACACACATACATAGAATAAATCAATCCTTTAAAAAATACCATGTTAATTGATTAAATTAAAGATGATTAGTCATCTGTCTTTCTAGGTGTTAAAAATTCATTTGCTAAGTTAATTGATGCCGAGCTAAAGGCCCTCAATCCTAAAGGGACTTCCTCAGTGTACCCTTCAAAAAAAGGACATCTTTGTCTCAACTCCAGCCGCCTTCATACAGAGAGATGGCTGGAAACACTCTCAGTGAAGTCCAGAATGAGCAAAGATGCCCTAGCATGTCAGGAGATCTGTTAGTGCAGACAGACCAGAAGAGTATGCAGGCAAAAATGGCAAGGAATCCTTGTCTGCAGAGGACTGTTGGAGGAGGGAACTTGTTGGTTCCCGGCCGCCCCACTAGCTTAGACTCGAAATAATCACAAGAAACTGTACTAATTAAATCATGGCTTGGCCCACTAGCTCCATCTTCTTATTGGCTAACTCTTATATTAATTTAACCCGTTCTATTATCTGTATATCACCACGAGGTCTTGTCCTACCAGCAAAGTTTCAGCACATCTATCCCCAGCAGCGGCTCCATGGCGTCTCTCCGACTCCGCCCTTCTCCTCCCATGCTATAGGCCAAGCCAGTTCTTTATTCATTAACCAATAAAAGCAACACACAGACAGAAGGACCTCCTACACCAGAGGATAGTGAAGAGCTAGTAAAAGAGATGACTTTTATGTTAAAGAGGTTTACTGAATTCTTCCGCCACACTAAGATCCTTGACATACATTATCAAGCCTGGGAGGTAGAGAGCTATCTTAACATCCGGTTTACATATGAGAAGACTGAGGCCTGCCAAGCTCAGTAATGTGGCTACAGTTATACAGCGAGAGAGTGGCTGTCTGACCATCAGTCTGTATTTGAACCAGCCTTGCCCTTATAGTTGTCCCAGGAAGTAGGCACATACAGGGGACTAGGGGGAGACCTTGTCTACTGTATGCCAGCATTTGTGTTTGGCAGGGTTGCTCTCCCAGCATCCTTGTATTCAGAGGTTAGTGCGGGGGGTGGCTGTAAGAGACCAATAAGCACCCCTAACACACACACTTTTGCTATTTGTATATTGAATATATTGAATTTATAAGTAGTTAACTCAGGAGGCCTTGACTGTAGTGCTGCGTGCAAATGCCTATGGGATCAAGGTCAGAAGGAGTCGGGTACTAACTGTCCTTCTGTCTGGACAGAAACAGACACGTTGGACGAGAGAAAAGGAGTGGCGTGTAAACCAAGCCTGGGAACCTGGGTACACTGTGGCCAGTTGCTGCCTTTTCTCTGCCCGCACAGTAGCCAGAATCCCAGGCTAAAGCACCCTGCGGCCCAGCCTCTTAAGTCGCGTGCTCTCTGCATATTTACCGTGCTGATGTGGCTTCTGTCTCCTCTCTAGGTATGGAGAAAAGGGGAAAGCTATCCGGATCGAGAAGGTTATCTACACAGGGAAGGAGGGGAAGAGCTCTCGAGGTTGTCCCATTGCCAAGTGGGTGAGTGTTGGATCCCCACAGCTAAGCTATGCCTGGGTGTTTCTTGTCCCCTGGGCCCACATGGCCCGTGCGGGGCCAGTGAGTAGGAAGTAAACTTATTTACCATCATGGGGCCCTGGAACCAATGACCCTCAATAGCAGCTGATTGTCTTTGTCCTACTTCCATGCCAGCACCAGGCACCCTGTGCTGTCAGGAACTGTGTGTGACCTCTGGGAAAGGGCTGTGGATACAGGAAGGCAGGAGCTGGCGATGTTGCTGACCTAGCCCATTATTGGATCTTCTTTTCTGTGTGTCTAAGTGGCTGGTACTCTTGTCTCCTACCTGGGAGCCAGGGAAGGCTGACCAGTGTGAGCCAAGCAGAGGGACAAGACGAGGCCTCTCGATAGTGTTAAGATGAGGCTTGCTTCCGCCTGGGCTTCTTGTCAGGGAGAATGTCACTGACACAGTCCCCAGTTCACTCAGCCTTGTCCTTCTGGCACTCACATGGCTCTTGAAGTCGTGGGTATCTGTTGTTGCTAAGCTGGCTTAGAATAAGCTGGCCTCTAGGTAGCTGGTCCATGTGGAAAACAGTCTCTATATTCAGTGCCTTGGGCACCCTCGAGGCAAGGTCCCAGAGACCTGGAAACACAAGGCTAACCAAGAGACAGCTGTGCTGCTCCTCCTGCTCTAGGACTTGAGGGATGGGGCTGGCCGAATGCTGAGGCTGGCTTGGCCTGGAACACAGCCCTAGGAGTGAGTGGAAGCATTTCCGGTGAGGAGGGTCCACATGCAAAGGTAGGAAGGCCGCAGGAATGTGCATGCGGCTGACTTGGGTGTCGCCTGCACACTCAGCCTTCTTTTCTCTGGGACTCCTTGCCTCTGCATCTCTGCATTTAGTGAAAATAACAGCTGTCTGGACTTAAATTATCACATACTTGTCTTCAGCATTTCCTAGGCGTTATTGTAGGACTTTTCACAGCAAAAGAACCTGGTGCTTCTTAGGAAGTGTGAAGCATGTTGCCTCCACCCCCAGGGGAGGTGACCCTTTAGGTAAAGGTCTAATATGATGGGGTTCTGCCTACCTCTTCAGAGAACCCACCTGGAAAGTGACATCAGCCATAGACAGTGAGCAGAGTTTGACCGTATGCCTGGATTTAACCCTGGTCCAGGGACAACTGTCATAGCGACCTCCTCCAGATACATGTCAGTGCCTACAGTGGGCCTACCACGAGCTGCCAGGACCCAGGCAGCCATGTGAGGAGTCCTGCAGTAACATTCAGCCCATTACCTTGTTTGTGTGCTCCTGAACTCCAAGACACAGTTTAATAAGTGACAGTTGATTGTTGCAGGGAAGTGGTGGATGACATTGTTAGGACCTTGCCTTAGACCCTGACCTCATGATCCAGGCTGCATGTCGTTTAGCATTCAAAATGCAAAATATTCTGTCAGGTTTGCAGGAACTGAGAAGTGCTAGTTGTCAAAGGATAGATTGCATATGATTCTGCATATATGAGGTACTTCAGAGTCGGGTTACAAGGGCAGAAAGTCCATGCTGAAACCTGGGAATATAGCTCAGAAATAGAGTGCTTGCCTCGGACGCACACACCTTAGGTACAATTCTCAGTGCAACCAAAAATAAAAGTCAAATCATGAGGTTGGCAAGGCTCAGTGGGTAAAGGCTTTTAAACATAAGCCTTGCCGTGTGAATTCTGTCCCTAGATCTTACTGGGTGACAGGAGAGAGCTGGCTCCCAAAGGTTATCCTCTGATTTACAAGGGCATGCACAGACACACTCAATGTTTACAATTTTTAATTTAAAAAAAGTAGAAGGATGATATCGGGTAGAGGAGCATCAGAAGGGAAGAGTTGGCGCATTGGCGTTTTATGAAGTCTTAGCTTTATCGGGAGTAGAAGTTCTAGAGGAAACAGTAGGCATGCAGCACGGTGAATGAGCTGAAAGCCACTAAAATGTACGCTAAACGTGGTAGATTTTATATTATGCATAATTTTCATAGTAACATAAAGTGTGGTACTTGTGACTTTGAAAGGGCGTTTGAGGGCTGTTGAGGTGGCTCAGAGGTTAGGACTTTCACTACAGTTAGAGGGGATCCAGGGCCATTTTTGGCCTCTGGCGGCTCTGTGCTCACGTGGTTAACATAAACTCACGAGTCACGTGCTCACGTGGTTCACATAAACTCACGAGTACACACAAACACACACACATCAGTGTATAATGTACAAGGCACAATGGTGCACACCTTAAATCCCAGCGCCTGGGAGGCAGACAGACCTCTGTGTTTTCAAGGCCAGCATGGTCTACGTAGTAAGTTCAGGACCACATAGTAAGATCCTGTCTCAAAGGAAGTATGGCACAGGCTATGTAAAACTCTTCATTTTCACTTTTGCATACAAACCGGAAAAGCTGGCTGCCCTAGGTTGAGGTTCCCTGTGTGGTCAAGGAGAGCTAGACTTCCCAGCTCTCAATGAACGGACGCCCACTAAGCCCCGACTGTGTATCAGGCCCTTTTCCTTGTGGAGCTGCCTACACCGCCACTCATTTCCGTGTAACCTGCACAGCGTCAGGGCAGATGTGACTGCACCTGTCTGCAGGCCAGGTCCTTCCCTGACCTTCACACCCACAGAACTGTGGATTGTACGTTGATACCATACCTAGCTTTTTGAGGATGTTCAGACTGTTTTCCCTATTGTTGTACCCCGAGTGTAAGCACACAGAGATGTGCGGTGTGTTCTCTGCAAACGCGCCGGGACATCATACAACTCTTCACTATATTTCTGGCTCACAGGTTCATTTATTTTTACTTTTAAGTTTTTGTTGGTCACTAACGTCTTTTGAATTTTTGAGACCGTGTCTGTGTAGCCCTGGCTGTCCTGGAACCCACTCTGAGACCAGGCTGGCCTCGAACTCAGAAATCTAAGTGCTGGGATTCAAAGCATGTGCCGCCGCCACCCGGCGGTCACAAATGTCTTAGACTTTATCATAATTAGTTTCTATTTTTCTGTTTTAAAATTTTGTGTGTCTTCTTCCCGAATGGTACTGACCTTAAGACCCACAGCTCCAGGTCTGTGGGGTAGTGAGGGGCACATACCATGCAGAGCTGTGTAGCTGCTGCAGGGTAAAGCTCAGTCCTGCATCTGTGCAGGTGATCCGAAGACACACACTGGAGGAGAAGCTGCTGTGCCTGGTGCGTCATCGGGCAGGCCACCATTGTCAGAACGCCGTGATTATCATCTTGATTCTGGCCTGGGAGGGCATCCCTCGCAGCCTTGGAGACACCCTCTACCAGGAGCTCACCGATACCCTCCGGAAGTACGGGAATCCTACCAGCCGGAGATGTGGCCTCAATGATGAGTATGTGTTGGAGTGGCAGTGGGTGGATGATGGGACTGCAGGGTCCTGGGTAGCGGGTACTGGGTTGCTGGGCAGCCCTGGGCTCTGGCCCCAGATCAACAGTAACCTCTCTCCATTGGATTTTCTTATCCTTTCATTGGGATGTATTTAGTATCAGTAAAGTTATTCTTAAGGTATATAGTTTGGAGGGTTTTGTTTTATTTTTGATGAGACAAAGTCTTGCTATTGTATCCTTGGTTGGCCTGGAACTAGTTGTGTAGACTAGGCTAGCATTGAACTCAGGGAGACCTGCCTGCCTCTGCCTCTGGAGTACTGGGATTGAAGTTGTGCTCCATTACCCCCAGCAGTTCAGAGGATTTTAGTAACTATCCATAGTCACATAGCCCAGTCAGGGTTAACAGTAGGGGTCCCTGAGATGGCTTAGTGGGGTCAGGCAGTTGTCAAGCCTGACAGTCTAAGTTCATTCCCCAGGAACAGTAGGAGAGAATGCCCACACATACACGTGTCTACATGTGCAAGCACCCTGTGCCCTTCACCCACAACCCTTCCCCCAGCCCTCAACAACTATGTGTCTTTCCTGTCCCTTTAAGTTTGCCTCTGCAAGAATGTCACTGATAGACTCAGCATCACGTGGCCTTCTGAACAGACTTATTTCACCGAGCATGAGTGTTCAGAGAATAACCTGTGTTGGAAAACTTGGAAGAGTTGTAGGGTGGAAAGAGGAGTCCTTGTCATCAGAGGCTAGTGGATACCAGTCCTCTGCGGGGGCAGGGCAGTGCCACCAAAGACAGATCACATTTGTATGCCTGGCCTGTCTTGTGTGTTGCAGCCGGACCTGCGCTTGCCAAGGCAAAGACCCCAACACCTGTGGTGCCTCCTTCTCCTTCGGTTGTTCCTGGAGCATGTACTTCAATGGCTGCAAATACGCTCGGAGCAAGACGCCACGCAAGTTCCGCCTCACGGGGGACAATCCCAAGGAGGTGAGGAATGCCGTGCTGGGCACAGAGCAGCCCCCCCCGCCCCCCCGCACCCTCACCAGCTCTGCAGAGCTGGGACTGACATGCCGCAGTGCAGATGGGCAGAAATGTTTCCTTGCTTGGGATTTCTCAGCAGCCTTACATGCTGGGAAAGTTTGTTTTCAGGTCGTATGGAAACTAAGGACTTCCAGCTATGGGTCCTCAGACTCTTGCCACTTAGCAGCAGCTTTGGAGAAATTATTCTGAATACTTCTGACAAAAATGCAGATCTTTCATCTGAATGTGATCTGGCCATTTCTTCTCTTCATGGGACATTTTTAAAGGGTATAGGGATTATAGGAGGAAGGAGGACCTTCCTCTCTGTGGATGACTCTGAATCATTATTGGGCTTGGTGAGGTATCCCATCCTCCACTGGGCTGAGCAGACATTTTTGGCATTATACAGACTTCTAGACCCTTATTTGTTATTTTGTCTTTTTTTTTTTTTCCCGGAGCTGAGAACCTAACCCAGGGCCTTGCGTTTTCTAGGCAAGCACTACCACTGAGCTAAATCAATCCCCAGCCCCATATCTAGGCCCTTCTTGTTTCCGTGCTAGGGGCCTATCCTGGTTCACTGGGTGGACAGAACAAGGGCCTCTGGGTCTCTAATGCAGCTTCCACCAAGGGCAGAAGTTCACTGAGTGTCAGCTGAGGCCATCTCTCCATTGCCTTATTTTCTGTGCTCCATGCTGCCGTGGCCATAGCAAGAGGTGGTCTCAGAAGGAGCACACTGTCTTTTCACCTCTGCTCCCTTCCCTTCCGCTTGTGCTCCTGTAGGAGGAGTCAGGAGACTGGCCCCTCTGTTAGAGTACAGGCAGGCATCCTGATGCCAGTCTTGGCCTTCCAGAGCTTGAAGGTCCTAGTGCCAGAAGGACCTCCCCCTCCCCTGGGGACAGGGACATCCACTGGGCACCTCTTCTGTGCTCCATAGCCCATGTACACATCTTCCTGGCTTTGTTCTTCATAAGTAAAATGAACCACATTGAGGGATTAGAGAGATGGTTAAGAGAGCGCCATGCAGATACTCTTCCAAATGTCCTGCATTCGTGTCTGAACTCCAGCTCTAGGGGACAAAACACCTTCTTCTGGTTTCTGCAGGTGCATATCCATGCCATAACACACACACACATATAAATCTTTTTTTCCCCAAATTCAGAACCTTTCCCCAAAAAACTTTTGTTTGTTTGTTTGTTTTGGGTTTTTGTTTGTTTTGTTTTTTGAGACAGGGTTTTTCTGTAGCTTTGGAGACTGTCCTGGAACTAGCTCTTGTAGACCAGGCTGGCCTCGAACTCACAGAGATCCTCCTGCCTCTACCTCTCAATTAAAGGCGTACGCCACCACTGCCTGGCCCTCCCCCAAAACTTTTAGATAATTTTGTAAAATTAAAATAGACTCTAATTTGATAGCTCTTTGTAAGCTAAGACCCCCTTCTTCTGAAGGGGCAAATGTGGCTGCTTCAGTAGGTTAAAGATCTCCAGGACCTATGACTTGTCAGGAATAAAAAGATAATGGCTTAGTTTCTCCGCAGACCATCCCTGGTCTGTCATCACCATGCCCTGAGCCCTTGTGTTCTGGGTTCACACACATCCCAGTTATCACAGGACCACCCGTTTGCCCTGGCAGTGTTACTTGGCTTCACAGACAGGAGAGTGACTTGTTCAGACCCACGTGTGGTTCATGGTGAAGGAGGTGGGGTTCCTCCCCAGGCCAGTGCTTCCCCAGCTCGTCAGCCTCACCTTGACGCTATGTTCCTTTGGCCTCGCTGTGCTGGTGGCAGCATCCGGACAGCAGCCAGAGCAGGCCAGGTGGCCAGGCCCTGATGTGGTACCACATTGGTTGCACTGACTGACGACTGGGCCCTGCTGTCAGCTACTCTGTGCTGTGTGCTTGCCTGCGCTTCCTTCATACATGCTCCGTGGTCATGCTGATGGCCTCGCTTCCCTGCGAGCCCCGGTGGCTAAAGGCCAGAGAGGCAACAGAGGTGCCAGCTGCTTCACATAAGAGAGCGGTCACTAGGTACAAGCAGTCGTCCTGTGGACCTTCCTTGATACTGCAGACATTCTTCTGTCTAGTACAGGAACCACCTGGAGCCACTGAGGGACCCAGGTCATCACTAACTTGCATTTCAGAAGACTGTAGCGGCCAGATCTTTGGATTTGTTTGTCTGGCACCTGACTGGTGACAGGCTGTGTGTGGGCCAGGCCAGCTGTGCGTCTCTAGCATAGTCCTTCCCTTTCCTCTAACATGGGGACAAGCATCCACCCCTGTGACCCACAGGATTCAGCTCCGAGAGCAAGGGCCTGCTGTCTTGTGTTGGGCTCATCGAGCTGCATGTGACTGACATAGTAGCGGGGCCGTCAGTGTGACTGCACCTTCCTGCAGTGAGCCTCAGTATCCACAGCTTTAAAATGGACACAGCAGAGGCACACTCTGAATCTCTGCGAGTTCTTGGCTTCCTGCCTGCCCGGTGCTGCTCAGCAGTGATTCTGGTGGCGGTCATTCCTGGCAGGAAGTTTGCCAGGTAGGGCAGCTCTGAATGAACCTACCTGTTCTCTCTGCAGGAGGAAGTGCTCCGGAATAGCTTCCAGGACCTGGCCACTGAAGTTGCTCCCCTGTACAAGCGGCTTGCCCCCCAGGCCTATCAGAATCAGGTACCGGAGCCTGGACCTTTGTCTGTCTCATTCTCAGGATCTCTGCAGCTGGAAAGCGGGAGAGCTCAGCCTAGCGGTCTCCTAGAGCCATTGTGTGCTTTGTAAGATGCCTTGTTTCTACAGCCTGCACTAGCTCCCCATCCCCTCTCCCTGGTTGTCCCCTGGCACCTCTGGCCTGGCTTCCTCGGCAGAGGTTTGAGTTCCTCTCCACCTAGGCAAGCACAGTTGAGCTAACCTAGGGGAGAGTGATTTCTTCAGGTTCTGGGCATCTCACCTGGAAAAGCTTCTTCTCATGGCCCAGAACGCAAGGCAGTTGTGAACCTTAACCTGCTTTTCACTGAGACCTAGATCCCAGGTACAGCATCAGGACTAGTCACTTGGGCCTCCTGAACATTGTTCTTGACCTTCACACAGGTGACCAATGAGGAAGTGGCGATCGACTGCCGTCTGGGGCTGAAGGAAGGGCGGCCCTTCTCAGGGGTCACAGCCTGCATGGACTTCTGTGCCCACGCCCACAAGGACCAACATAACCTCTACAATGGGTGCACAGTGGTAAGGAAGCCTGGGTCCAGTGGAGGAAGCCAGCTATGGGTTTACTCGTTATAGGGAAGGACGTAGAACTGGATTCTGAGAGTCCTGGCTAGCGTTGGCTAGATGACCTGCTCCTGCCCTTCTTTGGAGAAAACCCTCGCAACAGTAGGTGGACTGGTGACTGGACCCGTGTGAGGAACCAGAGCCTACGGGTGCATTTACTCAGAGATGAGGTTTGCGGATGAGACACGGAAGAGTCTTCCATGCGATGCCTGCTAGGCTACAACTAACTGGTTGTATATAGAGCAGGCAGGAGAAAGAGGACTTGGAGAGTGGGAGTGGATCTCCAGAGGTGTGAGTGCTGGAGAAGAGGGGCGGTCAAGACTGGCTGAGGTGGGGACCCCCTCAAGGGAACGGTGCTGGTGCCACGCTTACTTTCAGCTGGACTGCAGAAGGCTGGAGGCTCAGACCTGAAATGCTAGAAAGGGTGGGGCCTCTAGGATAAAGAGAGCTGCAGGATAGGGACACTGGGGAGCAGGAAGGAGCAAAGTACTGGTAGGTCACCTGACCTCCCAGCTCCTGTGATCTTTACTACTTAAAGATTAACTATTAGTCTCTAAATTTCTGAAAGTTTTCATGTCTTAAAATTTGTACGTGTGCATGCCAGCGGGTCTGCACATGCGGGCAGCTGGGCATGCATATGCATGAGTGCATGGAGGTCAGAGGTCAGCCTCCTGTCTTCCTCAGAAGCTGTCTGCCTTTGGGGATTATAGTCTTATTCTTAAGTCAGAATCTCTTGGTACTTGGAGCTGGGCAGTTAGGCTGGTGGCCAGTAAGATGAGATCCACTTATGCTTGGATTTTTAATGTAGGTCCTGAGGATCCAAACCCAGCTCTTCGAGTTTGCACAGCAATAGCATTATGCACTGAGTCCCATCCCCTCGTGATAAAAACTTTCGGAGTTGGGACTTGGAGAAGTGGCTCAGCTGCTAAGAGAACTTGCTACCCTTTCAGATACCCCAGTTTGTTTCTCAGTAGCCTGTAACTCCAGCTCCAGGGAGTCTGATGCCCTCTTCTGGCTTTTGTGACACCTGTGGCATATATTCACATGGGTACAGACACACTTATAAATAAAAAAAAAATAATAATAATTTAAAAGAAAACCAAGTTGCTGGATCGTGGTGGAGCACACCCTTAATCCCAGCACATGGGAGGCAGCGGCAGGCAGATCTCTGTGAGTTCGAGGCCAGCCTGATCTACAGAGCAAGTTCTAGGACAGCCAGGACTACACACAGAGAAACCCTGTCTCAAAAAACCAAACAAAGAGACAGAAAACTTGTCTGAAATCTTGTAAAGAAAGCCACAGTCGGCATTTGGTGGTCATCCCTTCAGACAGCTATGTGTGACCACGGCCATGTACAGCTATATAAAACTCCACGTACATGGGGCCACAGTGTGTCTGCCTGCTGTCCCAGGGTGTGCTTTTCATAACTAGTGCTATTAAATGTGTTGAAGCCTCATGTGTAGCTCTGATGCCCGCTATTTAACCAGTTCCCCCCCGCCATGGCCATTTGGTGATTGAATGCACACAGTTCCCCCACCCATGTGCCATGAGGAGGCCCTGCAGCTCTGTGCTGGAGGCCCGGTGTACAGTGACAGTCACAAATTTTAGTACTTGCTCTGTGACACCGAATCCTGCGGTCTCTAATATCCATCTGCTTCAGTGAGGTGTGCCTCTTACACACTTAGACACTGAAAAGGTGGAAAGTCTTGCCCGCTTTCTCTTGCCCCTTTTAATCTCATCTTTGAGGGTACCCCATCTGTGTCCTTTGCTTATTTTTTAATCATGATTGTGGTTGCTGACAATCATAAGGTTTCTTAGGTGTGTTAGGGATAGAGGCGGCTCCCGTAATGACTCCCCCTTTGTTGTATTTGACTTTTGCTCTGTTGTTTATGGCATAGGGTGTTAGAAAAGGGGGAAGGCACAAGACTGAGGGCCAGTTGCAGCTGGAATATAGGCAGAAGTCAGGTCCCTAGAAGGCAGTCTGAAGACTAACTTGTGCTCTGGGAAGAACCAAGCTGGGGAGAGGGACACCAAAGTGGGGACCTGAGCAGTCATGGAGTCAGCACGGTGACAGTCTACAGCTTCTGTTTGGCACATGAAAGAACACAGTGAAAACAGAAAGAGCAGTACCAAACGGACAGCTCATCATCTTTGACTAAACAAAGCTGGCCCCGGAACCGCAGTGCTGTGTGTGCGGAAGCATGTGTAGTTGGGCATACACGCCACAGAGCAGGTATGGGCCCTGTCCTCGAGGGGTATCACCTCCCAGGTGTTGGGATGAAAGGCGTGTGCCACCACATCCGGCTTACAATTATTTTTTTCTGAGGTCATTTTTAATAAAAAGAAAGGTTACCTTAGAAGCAAAGGAGCTGAGCGGTCAGGATTCAGGGAGAAGGTTTTGCCCATTCGTGTGGCACAGCACCACAACAGTGGACTACGGGCACAACAGGTGCCCTCGTCCCAGGTGAGCCACACTGGGGTATAAGAGGTAATGCGTAACTGAGCCTCTGAAAGCTGCCCCCCAGGCTCTGTGCTGTTAGTTTTTAGAACCTTAGTGGTCAGGAGAGTGCGATGGGACAAGGTGAATGGCTGGTGGTAGGACTTTGTGGAGGTCACATGGTTGTAAGCCCAGACCCCTCTCTCCAAACATGGACTCCAGTTCCATCTCTCCCTGTGGGGCAGGTCTGCACCCTGACCAAGGAAGACAATCGCTGCGTGGGCCAGGTCCCCGAGGACGAGCAGCTGCACGTACTACCCCTCTACAAGATGGCCAACACGGATGAATTTGGCAGTGAGGAGAGCCAGAATGCCAAGGTGAGCAGCGGGGCCATCCAGGTGCTCACCGCATTCCCGAGAGAGGTCCGGCGTCTGCCTGAGCCTGCCAAGTCTTGCCGCCAGCGGCAGCTAGAAGCCAGGAAGGCAGCAGCCGAGAAGAAAAAACTGCAGAAGGAGAAGCTGAGCACACCAGAGAAGATCAAGCAGGAGGCTCTGGAGTTGGCTGGCGTCACCACTGACCCAGGTAAGCAAGGGGGTACTATAGCACAGGTGTGGGCCCTGTCCTCAAGGGGTATCACCTCCCCCTCACGTCACACTGGCCACTTAGGAGGGGAGGTCCTGAGGCGTTTCACTCTGTCCATCAGAAAGGAGTCTTATGAAGCACCAGGCACAGCATTTGGCTTCTCCAGTGAGCGCTCACTGTGTCTGGGGAGAAGGCCGTTATTTCAGAGTCCACTATAGGAAGTGGCTGTGAGTGTCTGAGCGCCCACTCCTCCCTGACAGGAGTCCTCGCTGTGACCCTAAGCCCACACTTGGGAAGGTGAGCTTCAGTTGAAGCTAAGGCATTTTCTGGGGTCAGACAGAGTGATGGCAGAGAGGACATGGCCTCTCCATAGCTATCTCTCTTCACCTTGAAGTTTTTTGGGGATTCCCAGGGAGCAAGTCCCAGCTGGGCTTGAACTCACCTCAGCACCTCATCCATCCTGGCTCTGCAGAGAGAACAGCTCTCAGGCAAGGAAGGCAGTTCTAGCCCTGTCCATTGCACCTAGACCTTGCCAGGCTGTGGTGTCTGCCCCCGTTTCTACCTTGCCTTCTGCCTTCCCCAGGCCTGTCTCTGAAAGGCGGATTATCGCAGCAAAGCCTGAAGCCCTCCATCAAAGTGGAGCCTCAAAACCACTTCAGCTCCTTCAAGTACAGTGGCAATGCAGTGGTGGAGAGCTACTCGGTGCTAGGCAGCTGCCGGCCCTCCGACCCCTACAGCATGAGCAGTGTGTATTCCTATCACTCTCGCTATGCACAGCCCGGCCTGGCCTCCGTCAACGGCTTCCACTCCAAGTACACACTTCCCTCCTTTGGCTACTATGGCTTTCCATCTAGCAACCCTGTCTTCCCCTCCCAGTTCCTAGGCCCCAGTACCTGGGGACATGGGGGCAGTGGGAGCAGTTTTGAGAAGAAGCCAGACCTCCATGCTCTACACAACAGCCTGAACCCGGCCTACGGTGGTGCTGAGTTTGCCGAGCTGCCTGGCCAGGCTGTTTCCACAGATACCCACCACCCCACCCCTCACCACCAGCAGCCTGCTTACCCAGGCCCCAAGGAATATCTGCTACCCAAGGTCCCCCAGCTCCACCCAGCATCCAGGGACCCCTCCCCCTTTGCTCAGAGCTCCAGTTGCTACAACAGATCCATCAAGCAAGAGCCAGTAGACCCTCTGACCCAGGCTGAGTCTGTGCCCAGAGACTCTGGTAAGATGGGCAGAACACCCTTACCCGAGGCATCTCAGAATGGGGGACCCAGTCATCTGTGGGGACAGTACTCAGGAGGCCCAAGCATGTCCCCCAAGAGGACTAACAGTGTGGGTGGCAACTGGGGAGTGTTCCCTTCTGGGGAAAGCCCCGCTATTGTTCCAGACAAGCTCAATTCTTTTGGGGCCAGCTGTCTGCCCCCTTCACACTTCCCAGACAGCCAGTGGGGACTGTTCACTGGTGAAGGCCAGCAGTCGGCCCATCCTGGAGAACGGCTTCGAGGCAAACCCTGGAGCCCCTGCAAGTTTGGGAACAGCACTTCGGCCTTGACTGGTTCCAGCCTGACTGAGAAGCCGTGGGGGGTTGGAGCAGGGGATTTCAGCTCTGCCCTGAAAGGTGGTCCTGGGTTCCAAGACAAGTTGTGGAATCCTGTGAAAGTCGAGGAGGGAAGGATTCCCACACCGGGGGCCAGCCAGCTGGACAAAGCCTGGCAGGCCTTTGGCATGCCCTTGGGCTCCAGTGAGAAGCTGTTTGGGGCCCTGAAGTCGGAGGAGAAGCTGTGGGATCCATTCAGCCTGGAGGAGGGGACAGCTGAAGAGCCCCTAAGCAAGGGGGTGAAGGAAGAGAAGAGTGGCCCAGGAGTGGAAGAGGAGGAGGAGCTGTGGTCAGACAGCGAACACAACTTCCTGGATGAGAACATTGGTGGAGTGGCCGTGGCCCCTGCCCACTGCTCCATCCTCATAGAGTGTGCCCGGCGAGAGCTTCATGCCACCACGCCACTCAAGAAACCCAACCGCTGCCACCCCACCCGCATCTCGCTGGTCTTCTACCAGCACAAGAACCTCAACCAGCCCAACCACGGGCTGGCGCTCTGGGAGGCCAAGATGAAGCAGCTGGCTGAGCGGGCGCGGCAGCGGCAGGAGGAGGCTGCGCGCCTGGGCCTGGGCCAGCAGGAGGCCAAGCTCTATGGGAAGAAGCGCAAATGGGGGGGTGCTATGGTGGCCGAGCCCCAGCACAAAGAAAAGAAGGGGGCTGTCCCCACCCGGCAGGCGCTGGCCATGCCCACAGACTCAGCGGTCACCGTGTCCTCTTACGCCTACACAAAGGTCACTGGCCCCTACAGCCGCTGGATCTAGGTGCCAGGAGCCAGCGTACCTCAGCGTCGGGCCCGGCCCGAGCTGCCTCTGTGGTGCTTTTGCCCTCATGCCCGGGGGCGGGTTGGGGGTGCAGAAGTCTCTCTATATCTACATATATGGATATGCCTATCATATATATGTATTTATGGTCCAAACCTCAGAACTGACCCGCCCCTCCCTCCCTACTTCCCCAGCACTTTGAAGAAGAAACTACGGCTGTCGGGTGATTTTTTTTTCGTGATCTTAATATTTATATCTCTACATTGTTTTTATTTTTCCCCTTGTTTTGAGGGGCTTTTAATTTCTCTTTGTTTTTAAAACTTTATCCTTGTATATCACAATAATGGAAAGAAAGTTTATAGTGTCCTTTCACAAAGGAGCGTAGTTTTAAATTCCATTTAAAATGTGTATTTATTGGGTTTTTTTTTTAAAGCGACAATAGTAATGGTTACAGATGGGCAGGAAAGGCCGTCAGTGCTTCCTGCCGGGCGAGCCCAGTCTCCTGGGAGCTGCAGGTTCTCCCAGCTATCTGCCCCCCACAAACCAAGGTTAGCATGTAGCCCTGGTCTATCCCTCCTTCCCACAGGCCGGGGAGCCTTTGGGACCACCCCGTTCCCCTCTGTGGAATGGGAGAAGCTGTAGACATCTGGGGGCCCGGCCTGGAGATGCTGGTGTTTGATGTCCCCAGAAACCAGGTTGGAAGTAGACAGCTTCAAGCTTGCTAGTCTCCACACTGAATCCTCTCTGTCCGTTATTTATCAAGTCATATGATGTCCTGGTTCGCTAGGCAGCACCTCACGCTGGAGCAGGAGTCGAGAGGCTCCTAGTAGCCCTTCCCGTCTCATTGGTAAAGCCAGTGAGTACCAGGCTGAAGGAGGCTTAGTGGCAGTTTCTTTACAAAATCGCCCCAAAGTTTGTCAATACTGAAAAAGGGCTACTGTATCTTTGAAAACAAGAAGTTGAACCCAAGCTGTGAAGAGCCAGCGTGCTGTACGGTGCTGTAGGGTGCGGTGCTGTGTGGTGCTGTGCAGTGCCGTGCGGTGCTGTATGGTGCGGTACTGTATGGTGCAGTGCTGTGTGGTGCCGTGCGGTGCTGTATGGTGCGGTGCTGTGTGGTGCCGTGCGGTGCTGTATGGTTCGGTGCTGTGTGGTGCCGTACGGTGCTGTATGGTGCGGTGCTGTGTGGTGCCGTGCGGTGCTGTATGGTGCGGTGCTGTGTGGTGCCGTGCGGTGCTGTATGGTGCGGTGCTGTGTGGTGCTGTACGGTGCTGTATGGTGCGGTGCTTTGTGGTGCTGTACGGTGCTGTGTGGTGCTGTACGGTACTGTGTGGTGCTGTACGGTGCTGTGTGGTGCTGTACGGTGCTGTGTGGTGCTGTGCGGTGCTGTATGGTGCGGTGCTGTGTGGTGCTGTATGGTGCAGTGCTGTACGGTGCTGGAGCCTGGTGCTGTACAGTGCGGTGCTGTGTGGTGCTGTGCGGTGCTGTGTGGTGCTGTCCGGCGCTGTGCGGTGCTGTGTGGTGCCGTACGGTGCCGTGTGGTGCAGTGCTGTATGGTGCGGTGCCGTGTGGTGCTGTGTGGTGCTGTGTGGTGCAGTGCTGTATGGTGCGGTGCTGTGCGGTGCCGTGTGGTGCTGTGCGGTGCTGTGTGGTGCTGTGCGGTGCCGTGTGGTGCTGAGCCTGGTGCTGTAGTATTGTGCTGGGACTTTTCTGACTCTCAGGGCAGGTGGCATCCTGCCAGAGCTCAGCAAGCCAGTGTGATGGCAGGTCACTCATCGTCCTTATTCCTGGATCTTCACATGGGACAATGGTGCAGTCCTCCCAGCCCACGCAGGGCATGGCCTACACTTCATTTAAAGTGCAAGGGTCAGGCGTTTTCAACAGGTTGCTAATGCTTTCCTCCTCTGAGGAGGCCAGTTCTCCATTGGATCTTTCTCTCTTCCCTCCTCTTCCACCTACCATGTAACACACCCATTCTAAAATCCTGGTGCATTCATTTGATCTTTGAAATGAGAGCGTTGGTGCTTTAATTTCTGTGATGTTGTCGAGAGAGGTTGGGCCTGACAGGCAGAAGCGGCGCCGGTCTGCAGCGAGTCTGAATTTATGGTGTGTTCATTTTCCGATGCTGTTAGCCATGTTACCCAGCTGCTCGTGTGGACGTGTGTGGTGAGCGGGGGGCTTCATCAGGACACACACAGAGTAGCGGCCAATCCCTGAGGCAGCATTTATCAAGTGCTTCTAGCCAGGTGTGGTCTTCATAGACGGAGCATAGCAGTCCCACGACAATGCTGAAGGCAAGTCCGAGTCCCCAAGCTTCGTGGTGCCTTGTGCCAGAGCTGAGAGCCGAGCGGCTGGGTGTTGACGGTAGCCCTTCGGAAGCACTGGCAAAGAGTGCTAAAAGGTGTCCTGAGCATTTTTGTGGTCTGGTTTTAACTGTAAATAGTGAAAGATTTTTTTAAGCACTTTTGCCTAGATTTAAACAGCAACTTGAAAAGAATAAAAAGTACATTTTAACATGGAATTGTGGGAGAAACTGTAAATAGTAGCTGCGTATTTAACGTGCTTTGTCAATCCACCTTTACCATATTCTGTAAAGTTGCTATTATTTTACAGGACAGAAAAATGAAATATTATTGCTTTTGAAATAAATACCCAAGAGCTTATCAGGATTTAGAATTATTCAGAATTCAGATTTATAGGAAAGCCTCTGACCTTCTGTTTGACAAGCTAAAGGAGTCAGAGTCTCTAAGGCGCATGCTAATTTTCTAGTTTTGAGGGAAAGTTGGGTCCTTTAAATGCTATTTTGCTTAAATCGCATCAGTGCTTTTATGCAGGTCTCATCTGACTCCGTGCTTAGGTAGATGCGGGGGTGCCTTGAAAAACTTCATTTTAAATAATCTTAAATATGATATTTTACAAAGCATTTGGAGAATGTGACCGTGTATACGGCCCGTGGAAGCCCCAGGTTGGCTGTTGGCTTGCAAGGTCCCAAGTGTGGTCCAGGTGATTCTGATGTCGGCAGTGTGTGGATCTCTCTGACGTGTATTCAGTATGCTCCAACCCTCCTCACCATTTGGTAGCAAAGCCATTAGATGAATGGAGAAACCAGTACAAGCTAAAAAGCATGTGACGTCCATCCCCCAAGCCTGCACAGCCTTGGTTCAGAAGCTCTAGGCCAGGACACAGGCTGCTGTGAGGTGAGGCAAAGGCGTTCTGTGTTGGCCTTTCGGGTCATGGCGAGCGCTGTTTCGGGGCTCGGTGCTGTGGCTGTGCTTGAGCCCATGCTGACTTTCACACACTACATGTATAACCTACCTCAACTCTGTCGTTGAAATGAGCATGCTTTAGACGTGTATTTAAGACGTAACTATGCACAGTTCTATATCCCCCACCCCTTGCTGCTGAAGGCTTCTTAAAGAGAAAAATCAAAATTTTTATTTTTTACTGGCACTATCATTTTTTAAGTCCTGAAGATGATTGACAAGACATTTTTATCATGAAAAGAAAAAAAATAAAGCCATTGCAACTCAAGAACCTGACAGCGTGAGCGAGTTTTAAGAGTACCATTATAGCAAGGGAGATGATGGCATTGAAGTCCGCTCCCAGTGTGCCCGTCCATGGCCACAGTCCACATGCAGCGTTTGGTGTCCCCTCCCCCATTGTTTTGTTTTGCTTTGTCCTGTTCTCCCTGACTGCTGTGTGCGAAAGGACTTGGGAAGTTGTATCCCAAGAGATTTTCTTTTGTAGTAACAATCGCTTTGCAGCAGGTTCTCACAGAATAACCGGTGCTCACTGGAGAAGCCACCCGTCAGTAGCTCTGCTGAGGGTGGCGCACGGATTGAAGGGTTCAGCTTGGGGTCTGGTTTTTAGCAGAGCCTATGCACCTGACCCCCAGCCCTCCTGGGTGCTGCTTTGTCTCTTCACCGAGGTGGCCCTGGTGCATGGGAAGGGCTTCTGCCTTCTCTGGGCCTCCACCTGCTCTTGGGGAAATGGCGGTTTGCAGGGCTAGGGATTTGGGTGCTAGATGGATGAACAGAAGTAGCAGCCCTCTGTTGCTTCGTGGCTATGGCAGTGGATGTGTGAGGGCGGTTGACAGTAGCTGAACACCCGTGTCACAGAGCGAGGAGTTCCTGACTGCCTCGAGGTGTCAAAGCAAGGCCGAGCTGGTGGAACACTGACATACCCTGATGTGCCTCAACCAATCTCCTTCCTTTCGTTACTGAAGTGTGTTTTCTGGACTTGGAAGCATTTTTATGAATTGAAATAGTCTAATAAATGGTGCTATGGTGTTTCAATGTGACTGTCCCTGATCTTGTCTCCCTGAGGTGCTATCAACGTTTGAAACCACAACCAACCAAAAACAAGGTGGGCTCCGTCTCTCGGCTTTTCTTTCCTTCTCTTTGGGTGCTGTCTTTGTAGACCTCTGTTTACTGCGCTGTGTCTGCTCGGAGCAGTGTTCTGGCTTTGTTGGTTTTGTTTGTTTGTTTTTGCTTTTTTTTTTTTGTTTTGGTTTTTTGTTGTTGTTTCCCTTGGTGGCCAAAGCTAGGCACACAGAGAAAGGAGCTTGCTCCTCCTAAGGACGGCGGTGGCCTGCCTGCCTGGGTGGGCTCTATGGGTTTGTGCTATCTTCTCAGGCCATATTAGAAAGGGGGTGGTGGCTTTTAGGAAGGAGGGTCAGGCCCTGCCTCTTCTAGTATGGCAGGTATTCTCCTGTGGTCCAGGGTGCTAACCCCAGAGGGGCCAGGCTGAGGTCCAGGGGGGAATGCCTTCACCTGGCCCCAGTGGGGACAGGGTGGGCAAGCCTTTGGTTCTCACCACTCCCTGATAGCTCCTGGTGCTGAGACTAAAGGCAGGTGCTTTCATTGTCCCTGATGCCACCACGGCTGCTTTTAGTTGGTGCTAAACTTCTCCTGTGTCCACATAAGCTGATGTAAATTTTAAGAACTCGACAGGAAGCTCCATTTTTATATCATTCACTGTCACAATTTTTTTTAAAAATACCTCAAAAACAGGACATTGTGACAACTTAGATTCCATGAGGGTGTGACACCCGAAGGTTGTCCATTAAATGACTTCCTTGCCCTCGACACAGCTGAGATCACTCTCTCTGCTCATCGGCAGTTAAATGGCAGAGTGCCCAAGGAAAGGAGTGTGGTTGGATTGTTTTCATCCTTTAGTTTTGCTTTTGAATAAAATGTGAATCTACTTTGCCCATCTCATCGCGCTTTCTGTCACGGTTGCTGTCATTTGAAAACTCCCACACCTGGTTCTATCTGCTGTCCCTACCAGGCAAGCTTCACCACATACCCTGGACCAAAATAACACATTGGCAGTGCATGACCCAACCCAGGCTCGCAGCTCCACTTGCGCCCATCTTCACCGAAGCGCTGCCTTCCTGGCAGCGCTGCCCGAGAGGGCAAAGCAATAGGCTTCTCACCTGAGCAGAGGGAAGCAGCATAGAAGCCAGGCTCTGGACTGTGTGCCTAAGAATCAGTGAGCTGTTTGGCCTGCTCCTCGTTTGCTTCTGTTCTGATATCAGGGATGCTTTCTGTAAGGTGTCGTTCATGCTCTCCTCGCTCTGACTGCCCATCATTCAGGGGGAACCCTCACTCTTCATATGGGGACTTCAGATACTAATTGGCTCATCTGGACATCCTAAATTTTCTTGATTCCAATGCAAGTTTGTTTGTTTGTTTGTTTGTTTGTTTTTGAGGGGGGAAAGACAGACAGGAGTGGTGTCATTTCTTTTCTCGTGTTTAAAGAAGCAAGGACCGGCTATCTCAGCATTCTAATGCTTTAGACTTGATCTAGAACCCTTGTAGCTTTTGGATGTGTTTTATTTCTTATCTCTTTGAATTCCTGTTTGGTTACCTGGCTTCCAATGGAGGTGAACTTAACAACCATACTTGAATATTCCGTCTTGACTTTGTAAACTGTGGCTACTTGAAATGAAGTTTATCTGGGGTTGATGGATGAATGGTAGGTTTTTGCAATGTCTCAAGGCAATAGGATGTGTATTATTAAACTGTAGATATCTTAGTACAGTAAATTTATGCTGATAATTTTATTTTGTATAATTTTTACCTTTTGTTAATATTTTCCTTCCACTTTATTGGTTTGTCTCCTGAGCTACCGCCTTCCTTTCCCTTTCCTTCTCCCCCAGTGTTTCAGTAAATTTAATTTAGGGTGCCTAGAAATTGCAAGTATGTATCCTTTTTTGATTTGTATTTTATTATAATTTACACAAACAACTGGGTTTGTGAACTGTATTACTCCTGGCATCTTTAAAATATTGTGGGTGTTTTAATAAATTTTATATTTATTTTTTGCACTCAAATTCTGTGTGAGCTATTTTTTTCCTCTCTCTCACCTTGAGCCATAACTAAATTGTGACGTAAAGGTACCCTGAGGTCTTGCCCTCCTGTATGTATTATAGACACCCAGATGAAGCCTGCCTCAGAGCAGTGGGGGACCTGCTTTCACCTTGCCTGGGCCTATCATCTGAGTAGATGGAGATCAGAGCTCTGGGGTGGCCTTGGTCAGCTTTTCTCTGCTTTTTCCCCTCTAGTCAGTTTAAATTCAGCTATCCGCACAGCCACCTTAGAGCTGCTAAAAACCGCCACACGCTGCTGGGTTCTGAAGACTGAAGGCTGGGCCCAGCTTCTGCTGTCCCTGGACAGAGGGGGTGCCTTTGGTCCAGGCTGCAGTTCTGGCAGTGGTTGGGTTTGGGGAAACTGAGCTGAGAGAGAAGGATAAATGGGCAGGAAGCTCTGCCCTATGCTCTTCCATTTCCTCTCCCTAAAATGTCCCACCAAGCAGATCTAGCAGCAGAAATCAGCCACCCAGCAAACTAGAGGTTCGGTGATTTTTCCAGAGGAACCGTCTAGAAATACCCAGGCACACTGTCCAAGGTCCTGTTTATATCTATGCACCGTATGCCTGGTACCCTCAGAGGGCAGAAGAGAGTGCTGGATTCCCTGGGACTACAGGTGGTTGTGAGCCACCGTGTGCATGCTGGGAATTAAACCCAGGTCCTCTGAGAGCAACCGGTATCAACCACTGATCCATTGCTCCAGTGCCCCCCCCCAACACACCAATTTTGGTTTTGTTTTTCTGCTTCCAATTGCATTTGAAGTTTGGCTAAGTGTCTCATTTAACTCAACTTCCTGGTCTATCCTGATCTTCATTTTGTCGCCACCCCTACCTAGCCACACTGCTTGGTCAACAACTTTATTGAAAGTTCTACTGCTGGTAGGACTGGAGAGGTGACGTAGCAATTAAGAACACTTACTGTTCATTCAGGGAACCTGAGTGTTCAGTTCTTAGTACCCTCATCAGGCAGCGTCTATAACTCCAGCTCCAGAAGATCTAGTGTTCTCTTCTGGCCTCTGAGTATCTAGGTACATGCATACACACACACACACACACACACACACACACACACACACACACACTGCAAAAGCAGCTCCTCTGATGAGGGTTTAGAGATTTTGTGGTCTATGGCTAAAGTGGTCATTAGGAGTTATTTTAGTACTATATCTACTCAGCAGAATAACAATATTAGGTTCTCTCCCCTGGGGCTTATGCCCTATCTAGATCCAAGTTCTTGGTCCCATTAGCAGTGCCAGGCATGGGTTCTATCTAATGGATTGGCCGTTAGAGCCAATCAGAAAATGGTTGGTTGCTCCCATGATACTCTCACCACTGTTGCGCAGTGGGTAGATCTTGGCAGACTACTAGTTATTGTAGCTGGCAGGGTTCACGGGTGACTACTCTTCTCCTCCAGGACCATCTAGTAGACTATGAAAGCTAGCCAGTTGGGATGAAGCTTCCAGGTGAGTACAGTTCGATTCTTCCATATTATGTGATTCAGGTATGTGCTGTCTTAAGCATTAAGGTTTTACCATTACGTGCACAGGATAGCCGAGAGTATTGACAGTAGCCTATGATGCTTAGGGGACCCTGCTGGCCAACAACTTCTTAAAAAGAAAAACCCTCACATGGTCAACATGCAGAGAATAAGAAACTGCAGAGAGCTGTCCTGAAATGGAGTGTTCATAGCAAGAGCACACACACGCATCAGGGGTTGTTGTGCAAGAGGGGAGTGTAAGACCCAGAAGTGGTGGGTGACTTTGAGGACATGGTATTTTCCAGACAGCGAGCGAGCAGTTACACAGAACTCAGTGGCAGTTGTGACAGCACGCACAAGACCATACAGTCTCAAGCCAGACAAAATCCCAGCATGCACGGGGTGCTTTGGCCTCTGATAGCTGCCAGGAGAGGGGGTCCGTTTTCTTTAAAGCCATGGCTGCACTCCCAAGGGTAGTGGGTGGACTGCACAAACTGCACTTGACGGGAAGGAAACACCAAGTTGAGTGGGTAGGGAATTGAGCTTGGGGCGGACGGGTAGAGGAGCTGGGTGAGGGGAGGTGAGTATGGAGTTCTCAAAGAACTGATAAAATTCTATTTTAAAAGCTTTACTGCTGGCCCTGCAGACTGCTTAACATTGAAGAATTGTCAGTCACCTCACCTGAATACTCTGCAAAGAAGAGAGAGACCTTCAGCATCCTGGAGGAGACCAGAAGAGGGGTTCAACCCCCCAACCAGTGGTGTGCCTGTCTGCATCTCCAGAACGCCAGATAAGACAAGGGTCTTGTGCAGCTGCAGATGTTTAGTGCCTCCCACACCTTGGGCAGTTGTGCAGACACGCCCTGCCCTAGGAGTCCCCACCTTTACCTCCACACTGCCTTCATCCCCGACAAACACTCATCTCTGTCCCAGCCTCACCACTCTCCCACTCCTGGTTTGTACCATGTGAGCAGCTCAGGGAGGTGTCTTGTGGCTCACCCCACCCCACCCCTGCAGCTTCTTCTCATCCAGAGCTTGCGGGTTCTACTGTCTATCCCATGTCCTGTCACACTTCTGCAGCTAGAGATGTCTTTGGCTTCAGCTTAGACACCATCTTCAGGCAGGCTAGGAACGCTGACTTCTCTGAAGGACTACACTTCCCTAAAACCCTCTGATCCTGGGGGGTCTCAGGCACCTGCAGTCTTCCTATCACCCGAAGACAATTCCTTCACAATGCAGCCTACCAGACATGTGCAACCCACAGCCCATGGGCCACATGCACCCAGGATTGCTTGAAATGTGGCCGTAGGCATGGTTAGAAATCATGACAGGCTTTTTGACATTTTTTCCTTTTTATTTTTACTTCCTTTTATTATATTTGGTGGGGGGAGACCGGGAGAGATGTGTGCTTGCTGAGTGTAGAGAGGTTAGAGGCCCACTTCTAAGAGTGAGTTCTCTTCCTCCACATGGGCTGCAGGGATCTAGCTCAGGTTTAGACCAACAGGACCAACAAGGCCAACTGCGCTGTGCCAGCTGAGCTACCTCCCGGGTCTGGCAATTGTCTAAGGACCCAGTCGCATGGTTTTCAAGCGTGAACTTTAGATCACAGCATGTCCAAACCTCAGACACCAATGCAGGCCTTCCCTCCGAGACCCTTGCTCAGCTGCCTGGCCTCAAGTGTGACTACCAGTACCAAGGCTGTACAAAACCGTGTCTTGCCCTGGTCCCCTGGTGACTCTGGGCTGCCGCGTGGTGCTCCGTGGCTATGTGCCAGAGCTGAAGTTACAGGTGCCGTGAAATCCAAGTTGCCTTCACGTTGCCAGACTCCCCAGCCACACCCCGGGTGTCCTCAAGCTGCTCTTCCCTGGTACAGTTAGCCCACAGTAGATCCTGGAGCTGGCTACGGACGACTTCACAAACTAGCACAAGCCCTATCACTACCAGACACCTTGCTCCATGGCAGATCCCTCCAAAGCTGGGGCCCAGACAGTTCTTCACACTCTGGTCTAAATTTGGGAAGATACATTCTTATGTGCCACACACACAAAAGAACTTGAGTTCAAATGCCCGGAGCACCTATAGACTCGGCACAAAAGATGCCCGGCTGGTAAAAGTGCTTGTCACCAAGCCTGGTTCAGTCCCCAGGACTCAGCGGAAGGAAGAAGCAACACAGGGAAGTTTCCTTTGACCTCCAGTGTGCACTGTGGCACCATGTGTACGCGCACACCACATGTGGTACCATGTGTACGCACACACCACATGTGACACCATGTGTACGCACACACCACATGTAGGACCATGTGTATGCACACACACAACACATTATGATTTTCAAAAGAAGCTATATGGCAGGTGGCACATATGTCTTTGATCCCCTCACTCCAGAGGCAGAGGCAGGTGGATCTCTGAGTTCAAGGCTAGTGCTGCGGGAGCGCCTGCTCCTTCAGCCAGTAGCTGCTGAGATACCAGCCCCTTGGGGTGTGGTCTCTCTTTTAAAAGCAGCGATTGCCCTCCGCTTGTTATCTTGCTTCCGGCTCCTGGCTCCGCTTCCGGCTACTAGGCTCCTTTCCTGATCATGCAGAGGGCTGTTGTCTGGGACGGTGATCTGTAAGTTTTTTCCCCTTTAAATGAATAACCATTCTATTAATCATAATTCCGAACCAGTGTGGAACTGTTTGTGACTTACGCCTTCAGGTTAGCCTGGTGTACACAGTAAGTTTCAGAACAGCCAAAGCTTTGTGGAAAGACCCTTTTTCAAAAGAAAGAAGGAAGGAAGGAAGGAAGGAAGGAAGGAAGGAAGGAAGGAAGGAAGGCAAGCTATTCAGAAGGGATGTGGGGGCTGGTAAGGAAAGCAGGCAGAAGCCACACGGAAGGGGCTGACAAATCCTGCAGAGATCCCCCGTGCTTGCAGCAGGCCTGACCATACTTTGACGAATCAGTCAGAATTCAGAGCAAAGGCACAGAGTTGGCCACTGAACGTGAAAGGATACTGGGGAGCAGCTTCTGGAAAACAAGAGTGAGGCAGGTCCTGGGGCTGGGTGCCAATTACCCTGCTGCACCCTCTGCTCACCATCGTGGATCCAGAGACATTGGTGACAACGACCACTAGAACTTCCATACAGAACACCAGACTTCAGAGCCCTGGCACCCAGAATGGATGTCCCAGCTTCCCAGAGTCCAGGGTGAGCGTGTGTGGCTGGCTAAAGCAGCATAGTTCCTGGCCAACTCACCTCCCGCCCATCAGATGCAGAGGATGGGGGCCTTCAAACCCCGGGTGAGGCTCGCTATTCCTCAGCTCCACAGGGTATGAGAAACTAGGGGTTCCTTATTCTTGGAGAAGTAGGGGAGGGAAAATTTTTAAACTTTTTTATAGAACCAAGAAATCTAAGGTCAGGTGTGGTGACACACCTTTCTTCCAAGCAGCAGAGAGGCAGAGCCAGGAACTATTATCTCTGTTAGTAGTTCCAGGCCAGCCAGGGCTACACAGTGAGACTCCGTGTCCAGTAGCAGGATGAACTCTGCAGAGATGAACCATTGCGAAAGGAGGACATGCTTCTGGAAGGGGCCTGAAGCATGACTCATGCCTGTTGTGAGCAATAGGTATCTGTGGTCTTTAATTAACTTCTAAATAGATAACATACCTCCTATAATTATAATACATAAATGTCTATGAACAAAAATAGATACATTTTTTTGGCAGGGATTCTTCTGGAAGATGGCTGTGGCGAAGTGCACTCAAGGTCTCAGCATCGGCAGTCACGTGACCGGGGCGCCGTCAGCACTTGGGGACAGAGGTAAATATCCGAAGGCCGTGCATTCCCTTGATCTCTTCTTTTAGTGCCTGAGGAAGAGATGTCACAGTCAGTTCTTGTGTCTTGCCGTTGGCTACAGGTTGTTCTACACAGCTGTCTGAAGGATACTTTGCACATGTTTTATTAAGCAATTTTTCCCTTCAAAACATTTTTTGCCTATGTTTGTGTGGTGTGTGTATGTGCATGCTTGCATGTGTGTGGGTGTACATGTGTGTATGTGTGCGCGCTTACATGTGTGTGGGTGTACATGTGTGTATGTGTGCGCGCTTGCATGTGTGTGGGTGTACATGTGTGTGTGCACTGTGTCCATGCGTTTGGAGGCCTGAGGCTGACACTGAGTGTCTTCCTTGGCTGCTCTCTGCGTTACAGATCAAGGCAGAGTGTCTCACTAAAGTGGAGCCTGCTGTTTCGCCAATCAACTATCCAGCTTACTCCAGGGGTTCCCCACTTGTGCCTCTGGGCGCTGATGTGATGCTGAGTGTGGTCCCAGAGGTCTGTGATGCCTCTGGGCGCTGATGTGATGCTGAGTGTGGTCCCAGAAGTCTGTGATGCCAGCGTCTAGTTTCACCCAAGCTCTGGGAATCCGAGCCCAAGTCCTAGCTCTTGCGCACAAGCCCCTCTACGCCTCTTCCCAGTAGCCGGGTCTCACTGGCTAGTCCTGGCTGGCCTGAGTCCTCCAATTCTGAGGATTCCTGGAGGCAGAATCACCATTTTTGGACTGAGGTAGAGGTAGGAGCCAATGGCTGGCTGCTTTGCTTTTCTGGTCTTCAAGTTGAACCCCAATATCTATCTCTGGGTTTTTACTACTCATGCTACCTAGAGGTGCACACCACCACACCCAACTCCCTTTACAATTGTTTTTATTCAGTAGTATTTAAGTTTGTAGCCAGGGTGACAGCACATGGCTTTAATCCCAGCACTCAGGAGGCAGAGGCAGGTGGATCTCTGTGAGTTCAAGGCCAGCCTGAGCCTGGTCTACAGATTGAGTTCCAGGACAGCCAAGGCTACAAAGAGAAGCTCTGCCCGGAGAAAACAACAAGAACAACCCCACCTGTGTTTGCTGTGGTGTTACATATCCATAGCCCAGCCACCGGGGTAAGGGAGCGTGGTAAGTTGAGCTCAGGAGTTCAAGTCCAGTCCAGCAATACAGGAAGACCCTGAACCTATAGCGTGCGCGCGGGCACACACACACACATACACACACACACACACTCTCTAACAACAGCACACACAGAGACATACACTCCTACCTGGGTTGTGGAGTTAAAACAACACTGAGTACCCCTGGCCCAAAGTCAGCAAGTGAGTAAGTAGGTCAGGATATGGACCCAGATGTTTTGTGGTCCTGGATACAGCTGGTTTCAGTCATGTTCCTAAGTGGCTCTACCCAGGCCAACTCTATGTTCAATGGAAGCCTCAGCTCTGCCAACAGAAAGGACCCTGGAAAAAGCCTCATAGACACAGTCTGGCCAGTTCCCTCTGCTTGCTGCAGGCCCAGGATGCCCTCTAGTGGCTACTTCTATCTCTGCAGCTGGGTTAATGCCAGCCAGGTGGGAAGCGGAGGCAGGCAGATCTCTGAGTTCAAGGCCAGCGGGGTCTAAAGAGCGAGTTCCAGGACAGGCAGGACTACACAGAGAAACCCCATCTCAAAACAAACAAACAAAAAAAGAACATCACAACAACAAAACCCCCAAAATACCGTGGGTAAGAAGACTCAGCTTGAAAGCCAGTTGTTGAGGCGCACGCCTTTACTACCAGTGCCTGGGAGGCAGAGGCGGTCAGATCTCTGAGTATGAGGCCAGCCTGGGCTACAGTGAGTACCAGGACAGCCAAGGCTATATAGAGAAACCCTGTCTTGAAAAAATAAAAAGTTTACCTTGGATAAGCGTGTCTGAGCATGCCCGTGCACACAATGTTGCACCAGGTATTGAGGAGACAGGAAAGAGTGGGTGATGATAATGAAGAAGAAAGCCACAAGAAAGAACTCAAGGCCAGCAGCAATGTCACCGTGAGGGTCAGGAAGATGGCTCGCCAAGTAAGAGCGTTTGCAAAGCAAGCCTGACAATTTGATTGAATTTGATTCCCCAGAACCTAGGTAAAAGGGCCAGATGTGGCACACATCTGTAACCCTGGCATTCCCACAGCGGCGTGGGAGGGGAAGACAGGAGACTTGCCTGGAAGCTAGCTGGCCTAGGGTACATGGTACATTTAAGGAGGGCTGCATGTGTCCTCAGACTGTGTGGGTACAGGGAGGTTAATAACTTACTCAGGGTCACGACTGTAGCTGCAGGCCAAGGGATGCATGCAGGTTAACAGCACCCAGGCTACACCAGTATCCAGTATCCAGTCACACCAGGTAGCATATGTGTTTGAGAACAAAACACAAGTCCCACAGGAAAATCCATGTCCAACAAGCTGTGGGGAAAGCCCCCAGCCAGGTCTTCCCTGTCCTAGCTACCTGCATTCTAAGCCTGGAACCCACACAGAGCTGACTGTATCTGGAGGGGCTCTGAGAATGTGAAAGGGATAACGTGTCCAGGGTGCACGTAGACATGTCAGGACACAAGTCAGAACCACCAGCAACTGGAAGAAGGTGTTGGAGGGTAGGTGAGATGACCCAATGGGAAAAGGTGCTTGGCAAGCCTGACTACCTAGGTTCAAATCCCGAGGACCCACATGGTGGAAGGCAAGTTCTACTTTAACCACATAGGTGCTGCAGCATTGCGCCCCACCCCTAAAAGTACTGCAGAATACACAATTTTAAAAAGAAGGAGTCAGAAAATGGAGGGGCCCTGGGGCCCAGCCAGGAGGATGGGAAGTAGCTTTTGAGTTGGGTGCAGAAGGGAACTAGGCCAGAGGTCCAATCAGGACATCCAGAGGGAGGGAGGTCCCTCCGACAGTAGAGCACATGTGAACCCAAGATAAAGGGGCTGATGGCCAGAACTCTGCTTTTCAAAAGCTAAAGCAGCTGACAGCGCCCAAGAGCTCTGAGTGACACCAGACACAGCTGTGGGGTGGCTTCTGATCCAGAGGTCCAGAGTCAGCGCTGGTATAGGTTCCTACTGAGGAACACAAACCCAAATCTACAAAAGCGTGTCATTTAGCCCTGTGAGACCAGAAAACACTGAGCAGGCCAGGCACAGCGGAGCAAGTCTCTAACTCTGCTCTGGAGTCCACACAAGCCAGTGCCAGAGGACACGCCTCAAAAATCCCTAACATGGCTGAAGCTGTACAGCAATGGGCAGAGCACTTGCCCAGCACGCATGAAGCCCTGGGTTCCACCCTCACCACCTCACACTAGCCGTGGTGATGTACACCTGGAGGTGGAGGCAGAAAGATCGGAAGTTCAAAATCACCCTTGGCTGTATAGTAAGTTCAAGACCAGCCTGGACTACCTAGTCTTTAAAAATACCCAAACAAGGCTAAGGATCCAGTTCAGTAAGTAGATTTTCACTGAGGGGGTCTAAGCTTAGTCCCCAGACTTCATAAGCCAGGTGTGGTGGTCCATACCCTCAGCACTTGGGAGGTGGAGGCAGGAGAGTTAGAAGCACAAGACCATCCTTGCCTACATAATGAGTTTGGGTCTAGCCTGGGCTTCATGAGACTCTCTTTAAAACCATAACAAAAACCCAAACCAAAGAAACAGTAAACATTGTAGTATTATCAAAGAGGTTGAGAAATAACCGTTGGGTGGCCTAGTTCCAATTCTGAATGAATTTACATTTGCTCAAAATCTCAGACTAGTGAGTCTCTGGTTTTGTGTTTCCAGGGTCTCACTCAAGTCCTGTCCTCCTGACCACATTCTAATGGCTGCCCTGCTGTGCCCTGGAACTGACAGCGATAGCAACCATGCCCTCTGCTGTGTGCTCAGATGTTGAAGGCCAGAGGGACAAGGACCGTCAGCAGCCACTGACCTGATTGACCATCTGGTGCTGCTGGACGGTCCTCTTCTCTTTAAACTCTTCGGACTCAATTTTAATCTCGTACATCGCCCCACAGCCTCCTGAACAGACAAAGTCAAAAGCATCTCAGTTACAACAGATGGTAGCAGGCAGTCCTGACATCATTCGACTAACAGGTCCCAGTAAGAGCACAGTTTCCCATCTGACATTCACTTCTGGCCTCTCTGCTACCCACACTATGGAGTGTGGGCAGGAAAGAGGAGGCCCAAGGCCTGGGAAGCATTGGGAGGTAGAAATTCTCTCTTAGTAAGCCATGGGAGATGGTGGGAGGGTCAATTTCAGTTTCCCACCTTCCACAGACCTGTTAAAAATACCCTAAGGTTTCATCCGATTGTGTGGTCCCTCCAGTGGTGGCTGGCAGTGACTATCAACTTGACAGAATCTGGTATCACTTAGGAGACAAACCTCTGGGCATGTCTATGAGGAAGTTTCTAGATTGGGATTGCTCACCCCTAAACTGGATACCTGGACGAAAGGAAAAGAGAGCTGAGCGCCAGCATCCCCTCCCTCCCTCCTTCCCACTTCGCCCCTCTCCGTCTCTCTCCCCTTCCCTCCTTCCAGACTGGACATGATGTAACCAACCTGTAAGCAACTGCTTCAAGCACAGTCAACTATGCTTTCTTACACCAATGAACGCCCTCAGGGCCCTCTCCTAACATATAATAAAATAAACTTCTTTGTGTTTTGTTTTGTAAGTCAGGGTCTCAAACGGTCTGACCTCAACCCCTCCACATAATCAAGAATGGCCTTGAATTCCACCTCCTGAATGTTGGGATTACGAGCCAGCACAACACACTTGCTCAATTTTATGTTTCTGGGACTCAAAGCTGGCCTGTGTACACATTAGGCAAGCGCTCTACCAACGGAGCTGCATCCCCAGCCCAAGAAAAGCGATTTCTGAATGTTCTCCCTGCGAGCTTTCAGGGAAGTCGGAGAGCCCTTCTTGCAGTGACCATGCAGAGCCGTGTCTTATCTAGCTGCCTGCACCCGTGTCCCTCTCTGGGCGTGTCTGGGTAAGGCCCCCATCTTCCGTCTGCTTCTAGTGCAGAAGCTACACCGCCAGCCTGGTCCTGACAGACAGCCAGACATGTAGAGGTGGCCTGAGGAGAACAGGACTAGCCTGGGCTTGGAGAGTCTGCCCTGGGTCCTGATTCTGCCTCTGGTTCTCCTGTTTCCTTTTGATGCTTTGGGCTTGACTCTTGGATAAAGTATAAAGTAGGGTAACTGAAAAAAACCTACCTTGGGCCTGTTCTAGCTCTCCATCGGACGGTGTCAGAAGGATTGGAGTGGGTGGATTACAAGTCCATCTCAAAAGTGAGAGACTATCCTGAGCTCTTGGTGCCTCCAGAGGGGCAGGCTTGGTGGTCAGCAAGAGAGACCTCATCTAAGCAGGGCTAGCCTGGTAACCCAGAGTTTTCTCAGCCAGGCCTTTGCCTTTGTGGTTTCCCTCTGACGTTTCTAAGTCCCCATCTCCATCTGGCCCAAAGCAACACAAACGGAGAAGTCACTATGGAAGGTTCCCTCCTCCCAGCCTTTGGACTTCAGCCTCTCCCCAGCTAAAAGCTCAAAACCCCCAGCAAAGCCCCATGGCAACGGTGGGAGAAAGCCTCACCTGAGATGTCCGTGACTTTGATAGCTGTGGCTCGAGGAAACTTCTCCTTGAGAACCTGGGTCACCTTGAGCTCCCCCTCAGTCTGGGAGGCAAACATCCGATGTACACAGTGCAGGAGAGGAAGCTGTGACACAAAGAGGGGGGCTGTGGGACTGTGAGCTGTGACACACAAAGAGGGGGCTGTGGGACCATGAGCTGTGACACACAAAGAGGGGGGCTGTGGGACCATGAGGAGCTGTGACATACAGAGGGGGGCTGTGGGACCGTGAGCTGTGACACACAAAGAGGGGGGCTGTGGATCCGTGACATGGTACAGCCATGGCCCCTGCTGGGTGGGGCAGGGAGCGCTGGCTTGTAGGTGGCATCCAGTCACCCCTCAGTCTCACCACAAGGTCCAGAGCAGGTGCTATTCTAGACCCCCAGGGCTGTATCCTGGGTCTCTGTGGTAATTTATGTGCATGCAGTTGCCCGTGTGTGCATGCGCACTGGGGGTCAGAGGACAAACACAGCTGTCATTCTCAGCCACATCACCTTGTATTTGGAGACAGTCTCTTGCTGGCTTGGAGCTCATCAAGTAGGCTAGGCTGGCAGGCAAGCCCCAGGGAGCCCCCTGTCTCACCTCCCAGCAGTGGGATTACACGTGTGTGCCCTCACACCTGGCTTGTGTTTTCAAATTTTTACTTTGAGTTGTCTGTGTGTGTGTGTGTGTGTGTGTGTGTGTGTGTGTGTCTAAGAGTTTGTGCACATGAATGTGGCGCTTCAGAGTACCAGATCCCTGGAGCTGGAGTTATAGGCAGCTGTGAGTTGATTGACACGTTGACATGGAGGCTGGAAACAGTTGGGGTCCTCAGGAAAAGCAGGGAGCCCTCTTACCACCTCACATGGGTCCTGAGGACTGAACTCGGACCATCCTCGAGAGCACGTTACCAGCTGAGCCTTCCGCCCAGCTCGCTATCAGCTAGTTTCACAAGGCTGAGATAGAGTCTGCCTCTCCACAGCAGCATCCCAGAGCTGACCCCAAGACAGGCCCTGAAGCAGTGAGTGAGCAAATGAGAGGCTTGGCCGGGGGATGTAGGCCAAGAAGCCTAAGAGATGGCCGGATTTCAGGCCAGATGAAAGCCTGGAGTTCGATGGTCTGTGTGCTGCACGAAGGAACAAAACCAAGGCTGTAAGCCTGGGTGCAACTGCTCCTGTGACAGAAGCAGCCACGGTGGCCTAACCGGATGGCAGGCAGCATGTAAGGTCACTAAGACGCAGAGTCACAGGCTGACAGAATCCCTGATGGCCTGCCCTAGATGACAGTCCTGGAAGCAACACAACTCCTCAGCATGGGAGGCAGATTCGATACCATCAGGCACGGGAGGAGAATGATGAAGGAGGTAAAGCTAAAGATGAGTCTGAAAGGGGAAAAAGCCTAGGCACCGTGGCTTAGGACGTTATTCCAGGAGTCAGGAGGAATGTCACAAGTTCTAGGCTAACCAGGGCTATAATGCAAGACCCTGTCTCAAAAACCAAGAGAGGGTGGGAGGATTAGGAGAGCTGCTGTAGACTGGGTTCCCACTCCAGGCTGCAGGCTAAGGAGGGTGAAGGTCAGAGGCCTGCTCTGTGTGCGAGTGCAGAGCGCAGACTCAGCCTAAGTGCCCAGCACCAACGCCTGGACTCGGGACCACAACACCGAGTGGTTTTCCGCTACAGAAGGCAGTATTTCTTTCCCAGGTTCGCTCTACTGTGACGGATTATGGGACTGTCCCCGATCCACTTGAGCACGGGTACCCCCCGCCCAGCACCCCCAGTGCGAATCAGAGAGGTCAGGAGAAAATGAATGAGAGCAGGGAAGGGCCCTGGTCCTGCCCCACGTCCCCAACCAGACAACAGCCACCCGAGCTCCCCCGCAGCTCTGCCCGAGCCCCACCGGCTCACCCCGTGGCTCCCGCGGAGCAGAGGCGCAGCGGACGCCGGGCCCCATGCCGCCATGCCCGGCGACACAGCCCGCAGCCCGAGGTCACTGTGCAAGCGGAAAGACTCCCCAGCACTCAGTCTGGAACCGCAGCCCTGGGCGAGCCCGCCCCCTGCCGCCCGGAGGCCGCGCCCGCCCCGTGGTCGGCACCCGGAACCGCCGTACCTGCAGGCCTGGGCGCACCCTCCATCCCAGACCAGCTTCCACGGCAGGGTCCCCTGCTCGCCTCCAGACGCCCACCTCGGCTGTCGGGTGTACAGGACAGGCCTGCCTCCTGACAGCCCAGTCAGTGCTCTGGGGAACTGGTTTCTTTCCAGAAAGGAGTTCTGTGAAATTCTCAAGCAACAGGGGGTCTTCTCAGGTTTATGTTTTAGAAAGAGTGCTCTGGTTCCGGGAGGAATCGTAGAGAACAGACTGCTGCAGAGGCCAGATGAACGATGAACCAAACCAGGGGTGGAAGGAGTGGGGATGAGGTGTGGTATGGGTGTTAGATGAGGGGAGAAAGATGGAAATTTGTTTTGGAGTCCCCCAAATTCCAGGGATACAGCCCTGGGATTACAGGATGGAACCTGTTTTGTGTTCAATGCCAGCCAGGGCTAAGTAGTGAGTTCCGGGCGAGTTTGGGCTATAGAGACCCTGTCTCAAAACCAAATGGGATGGGAGTGTGGTGGCTCTCACCTTTAATCCCAGCTCTAGAGAGACTGGGGCAGGAAGGCCATCCTGGGCTACAGAATGAGTTTGAGGCCAGCCAGGGCTAAGTAGTGAGACCTTGGCTCAAAGCAAAAAACCATCAGAATAGGTAGGCTTAGAAGCACACACCATGAGGGATAAATAACAACCCACAAAGCACTATCAGAGAATGAAAGCTGACGCTCCCCCAAGCCCCATCTCTCGGGTGGTGATTGTCTGCAGCCTCAGTCCAGTGTGGCCTGCAGGACTTTGTCACTGCGCTTTGTGCAGTCAGTTCCTCCCGTGCGGATTAGACCTGGATTTGCTCTTTCAGGTGATCAACTAAAAGCAGGCTCATTTATAGGCGGGGTATGGTGGCGCACCTTTAACTCAACACTCGGGAGCCAGAGGCAGTTAGATCTGTTAGTTCAAGGCCTGCCTGGCCTACATAGCAAATTCTAGGACAGTTAGACAATAGAGAAACCCTGTCTCAAAACAAAACAAAAATGTTCATTCCAATGTTGAGTGACTCCTGTGTTCTAGCCCTCATCTCCGCATTACTTGATACACATATTTTTCTGCTTGATTCCTTAAAACTTATGTTAAAACTTACACTTATGTTAGTGTAATTAGGGGTAATTTATTAACTTTCAAGTTTCTTTTGTGCCAAGAACACAATTAAAACTAAAATGTTTTAGCTGTATAGTGGCCCCTTTGCTAGTCAAACCACATGTTCAGATGCGCAGGGACTGGCTAACTAGATGGTGAACCAGACCATTGAGATATGCTCCCTGGATTGGGCTGGAATTAAATTATGGTTTTCCAATGTATTGCTAAGCTTGTAGAAAGCCTGGCACCACCAGCAACCAGCTTTGCAACCAAAGAGGCAGAAATGCTCTGGCAATGGAGCAGATACAGAAGTGGTTCTGAGGAGGTAGACAGAGGACTCTCTCCGAGCTGCTGGAAGCCAGCCCTGCTGGAAATGAGTACTGAATTCATTGCAGACGAGTTTGCCACTTGAAGCTGAGTGCCCTAGGTTAAGGTCAGACTTACCTCCATCATTTATATTGGCACCTTTGCTTGTCAATCCTGTTCCACAGAACAATAACCCACATAACTGTGACTGAGAACTGTTGGCGCTCCACTGTGCACCCCTTACCTTCAGCTTCCAAGAGGATGTCTAAGCTGCTCGAGAGAACAATGTCTCAAATCCTTCAGCCTCCCCATCACACAAAGGAAATCACCTTGCATGACTTCACCCTCACCTACTCATCCAGCTGGAATCTAAACTGCAGGACACGACACCCAAATTGTCCTGCCCAGGTCAGCCAGGCTTTTGGTCACACAATTTGTTGTTTTTGTTTTGAGACTCTCCTGCAACCAAGCCACATCAGTACTGCCTGCAACTTGAACCTTCTTAAAATTTTTATATTTTGTCTGGATGTTTTGCTTGCATGTATGTCTGCACAACATGTGCATAGTGTCCAAGGCCAGAAGAAAGTGTCAGATCCCCTGGAACTAGAGTTACAGATGGGTGCGGACTGCCATGTGGGTGCTGGGAATCAAGCTCTGGTCCTCTTCAGGAACAGCCAGTGCTCTTAACCACTGAGCCATCTCTCTAGCCTCTTCATTTCCTTAAACCACCTTTGGGGCCCAGGAAATAGCCGAGCCTTTCTGTTCTGAACTTGAGGTTCGTTCACCTTTGTTTACTTAGGGTCTAATCACTCTGTGTTTTGTTTATTGTTGAGACAGGGTCTCCTATGGCCCAAGCTGGCCTCAAATTTATGTCGCTGAAGATGAGCTTGGATTTCTGACCCTCTTGCTACAAGCCTGCACCACCTCATCACCACGAGGCATCCTCAGTTAGGGTCTCTTGGGATGCATCTTCTGTTTTTACTTCACTGATTCTTAGTAACAGTCATTTTATAGAGGAGCCTCCTAGCACCCCAAGAGTCAGTTCTTAAAAAATTCAATCCTACAGCCAGCGGTGGGGGCACATGCCTTTAATTCCAGCAGTTGGGCGGCAGAGACAGGTGTATCTGAGTTTGAGGCCAGCCTAGATTATAGAGCAAGTTCCAAAAGAGCCAGAACTACAGAGAACCCTTTCAGAGGGAGGAGGGATTCAAGTAGCTGTACACCAGCTTCTTAACCTTACCTGAACATTTGTAGAAAAGACTGAAAAACCTCCTGCCTCCCAAGACTGCTAAACTTTCCTTCTGAGTAAAGCCCTACAATGTCCTCCCAGTCCCTTCAAAGTCAAAACACAGTGGTACGACCTAGGATCTGTCAACCAAGGGGCATGCTTCTAAATGGAAAATCTTGATACTGGATAATGTTAAGGATGCATGGCTTGTTTCTGGCTATGCGGCTTCAAAGCCTAACTCTGGCCTTCCTGACTCTTGTCTGGGTTATTTCTACTCTTCTGAAGCTTTAAAGAGCTTCCAAAGACTCAGCTGTTTGATTCCCTGACACACATTTTGGTGATCACTTCAAGTTTAAGGTTATATGTAATTTTAAGATGATCATTAAATTTATTTAATTATGGGGGGCATGCACATGCCACAGCATACATGTGAAGATAAAAGAACAGATTTCTGGAGTTGTTTCTCTCCACTATGAGGGTTCCAGAGATGAAACTACTCAGGTTGCAGGCTTGGCAGCAAACACCTTGACCTACTGGGCCATCCCAATGGCCTTTGTGATCATTTTCAGGCCTACTGAAACAAACAAAAACTCACCAAAAATGAGGTAGGCACATAGCACTTAAGAAGCCACAGAGCAAGACTTCAAGTCTGAAGCCAATCGGGGCTGCAAAATAAAGCCATGCCAGTAAATGTATAATGCTGACTTAACAGTTTGCCTGTGTCTTATACAAGATTAAGGACATGTGATCACTTAGGAAGTTTCCAACTCTATTCAAAAAGTCCAAAACCAGTTTTCAGACCAACCCAAGATGCACCTGTAGTTTTTCTAAAACTGAATGTAACAGCTATTCTTGCTTGTCTACTTGACTACATATGAAATTAACTAAAACCAAACCAACCAAGAACACATGTGAAGGACTTGTCAAGTCATTTGAAGTGAGAATATCCACTTTTAATCCAGACCTTCTGAGGTGGAAGGGTCACCATTAATCTGGGGCACAGCTTCTGTTGGCAGCCTATATAAAGGACATGGAGGCAAGATTGCTTTCTTGCTCTTGAAGGCAAGTCCATTCCTTCACTGGCATTAGAGCCTACTTTGAGATTCTGGTATAAAGATCAGCTGAGATATCCCACCTTGTGGACTGAACAACTACTGAATTCTTGAACCTTCCATTGATAGACAGACATTGTTGGACTAGCTGGACCACAGTCTGTAAGCCATTCAATAATCCCATATATATTCATTCTGTTCCCCTAAAGCCGTGGTCCTTACACTCCCTAGTGCGACAATCCTTTAATACAGGTTTCCCTGTGTTGTGGTGTCCCCCAACTATGGTTTATTTTTGCTGCTACTTCGTAACTGTAACAATTATTTCTGCTGCTACTTCATAACTACTTTTGCTACTGTCATTAAACGTAATGTAAACCTGTGTTTTCCAATGGTCTTAGACAACCCCTGTGGAAGGTCGTTTGCTCTCCAAAGAGGTTGTGACACCCACAGGTTGAAAACCCCTCCTGACTGATACATTGAGCTTGTTGGTAATTCTCCTACAAGGATAAGTGGCTGTATAGGCTGGGGAGGGTTTTAAGGCTACAGAAGTACTTGACTTCAAGGTAATAAAATTAGAGAATCCAGCCTCCACCGTTTCCCAGGAAGGTACCTCAGATCCGGAGTCCCATGAGCATCCCAGCATGGAGACTGCTCACTTCTCTCTGGGATGGGTCTGCACTAGTCACAGGGATTTGTTCTTTGGAATAAGGCTCTGGTATTCTATTTGGTTTCATTTAGGAACTTCTCCTTCCTAAGCTTTAGGAAATTAGATACTATATGGTTTGCAAAGATAATCCTCCAAATTTAAACTCTAATCAAAATCCACAGAACCTGCAAAGATCTCATTTCCACATTTGAATGAAAACATGCTAACACACTTAAGTCATTTTTGCTTTCAATATAGTTTATTCTGATGAAGTTATAAAAGTAGATACAAAATACTTTTTTAAAAAGTACAGTTAACGACTTAGAAAAATAGAATAAAGCCCTAAAGGTTTAAAAATACAACATAATTTTTTTCCCATGAGGAGTTTTTTTTTAGATGGTAACCAAGACTACCTTATGCAAATAATTTTTTTTGCAGACCAACACATAATGTTGTTCTATAAGCAGCCCATAGCACACTGGCCATCCATTTGGCTTTACTTGATACTCTGATGAGAAAACTGAATCTCCATGCAGCTGCTTCAGTAAAATTACTGCTGCCATCTGTGCTCCAAAGCCCCTCAGAGCCAGCA